TGTCACACAAAGATGTCATAGAAATGGTTAAATATTAAAAGCCACCTATGTACTTGACATTCCATACTGACTACAAATTGCAGAAAAAATTCTATTCTCAATGATTCTCTCCCTCCCAAGGTGTAAAACTGTACTTTAACTCATGAACACTTACAGATGTGCTCACACAAGGCTGTGTGCAATTTGTTACAATGAATTAATGGTTTCAGTGGTAATGGGAAAACATCTGCTGGGCAAACAGAATTGGGAAAAAATACCATTTGGTTCTGCTCACATCAGCAATGCAATAGTAATAATAATTCTTGCATTTGACATAGCACCTTCAAGTCAAGGGATGTCTCAAACTGCTTCACAGCACCTACTGTGAACTGTAGTGACTGTCGAGTGTGGTAACCAATTTGCCACCAACTGCCATGAAGTGAATAATCAATATTATCTGGGGGATTGTTGGCAAGGTCACTGGAGGAAACTCCCTTTTCTTTTCAAATCATGCCATGGGATATTTATCGTTCTACTGAACAGGCAGACAGGACTTTGGTTTAACGTCTCAGTGAAAGGCCGGTACTTCCAACAGTGCAGCACAACTCCAGCACTGCACTGGAGTGTCGACCTGGACTATACGAGTTCAAAATCCTGATATGGGGCTTGAGCCCACAACCTTCTGACAGAAGTGAGAGTGCTTACACAAATTAAGACAAATCACTATTGTTTCTCAAGAAGAAATCAAAAATAAACTTTACCCCAAGTCTTAAAAGGTATATTTGGTTATCCCTTAAGAAATATCAAGTTACTGAAAGTTTTACCTCCAGAAATACAAATAAAGCCAGTTCACATTGGATCTTTCCATAACTCACCTCAAAATGGATAGAAAATTCAAAAAAATTCCCATGAAGATTTTTAATGGTTTTGCTTCATGAAATGTTTCAAACATAATAGATGGATAATATCCAAATAAACTAATACACAGATGGAAAGCACTCGTTAAATTTTCAGTCCCAAAACAAAAATTACTAAAGGATCTTAACAAGATGGCCTAATCTTATCTGGCAGTAATTTTAGAGCAAAGAATATTAGAAATAAAGATCAAAAAGAAATGCAATTTCTTTCTTTCTCTTTTTTCGTCCACCACAAGAACTGCTCATTGATAAACACAGCCATATCAGGAAAATGTTTTTCTCTCTTGTACAATTGTAGCGATGGTCCTAGCAAGATGTGAGCAATCTCTAAAAATAGCAGAACCTCCTAATCAGTAGCAAAATACTCAATTTTTATACAAAAAATATTTGGTGTGAAGCAATACATTTTAATCAAAAGTAGTTCCTTCCCCATATTATATTTCCATTTGAACATTGCGTTTAGATTTTTGCACAAACATTGCAACAGCAATATCAGAAGTCGTCTTCTGATATCCTGTGTTCTCAGACCAGAGGGATTGCATTTTTCATTTATAGCCTTCATTTATTTCAAGTAAAACTGTGTGTATAGGACATTCACTAGATAGGATTCAGCAGCAAACACTGACCAATTTTTCACTAGTGAGGAGACAATGAAGCTTGTTAGAATACAATGCTGCTTTCACCTCTGAGACCACGTTAGGAACACATTTCAGATCGATAAAATGAATGCCTCCTCTGTGTCAGTGTAAGGGTCTAAGTGAAAAAAACTGAGCAGTTTCCTAGTAGGTATCGTGTACTGTCCCGCACCAGGCTTCGGGACCACATCACTCCCACCCTCGCTCGCCTCCACCGGCTCCCCATCCCCCAGAGGATCGATTTCAAGATCCTCATCCTCACCTACAAGGCCATTCACGGCCTTGCTCCCTCCTACCTTTCTGACCTACTATCCCCCTACCTACCTGCCCGTACCCTCCGTTCCTCTGGCTCCGGTCTGCTCCACATCCCCCGCCCAACCGCCCTACCATCGGTGGCCGGGCCTTCAGCCTCTCAGCCCGAGGCTCTGGAACTCTATCCCCCAGTGCCTTCGCCGCCTCCTCCCTTTCCTCCTTCAAGGCCGGTCTCAAGACCTTTCTCTTTGACTGAGCCTTCGGCTCCCCTCTCGACTCTCTACCCCTCCTCGCTCCCTCCCTTCCCTCCCCTTACCCTGACCATTTCCCCCCTGCTCGGTCCTGACCCAACTGTACAGCGCCTTGGGACGTCCTCCTGACGTGAAATGCGCTCTATAAATGGAATCTTGTTGTTGTTGTATGGACCAGCACAATTAAAGGCACTCAGATTTGTACCAAATCTTCACTCATAATCTAAAATCACAAAAAAAACTTTTGGAAATAGAAGTGGCACATGTAGGAATAGGAAGTGCTCATCCACTGCTGAGATTAAAGTACAGTGTCTGAGAAAACAAAGGTGTTCTGCGTTTATATGGTGCTTTGCCTGATCTTAAAACGTTTGATGCGTGACAGAAATTAATATCGGCTACATTCCACATTGCCTTAACCTACATTTAAAAAAGAAACAGACTAGCTCTTAGAAAACAATTCTGCTCACATATTTTATAGAGGCTTGAAAAGGATGAAGTAGTAATTTTAAACTTTGAGGAAAACTGAACTTACTTTGCGAAAGTTTCTTCCACAAAAGTATATCATAGGCATCATATCAATTTAAGTTGAGCCACTTGTTTTAGTGGCTCAGCGCTTTGGGATAACCTCCCGATGTGAAAGGCACTCTATAAATGTAATTTTGTGGTTGTTGTTTTAAATGCTGCTTCCTGTGACATCTTAATTTGGGCTGAAGATGTCTGCAAACTACTCAATGGAGTGGAATTCAATTGTAAACCACCCAAAATTATGCAGAAATGATACACTCACATGCTAAACTGGGCATTTAGAAATAAAATAGGATGTTCATCACTGTCAATTTATGGAAAAAAAATTAAATCGCGCTCTTCAGCAATCAGCAAAAGAAGAGGAAAATATTGGGGTTGGGGAAAGAGTTATAACATGGTCCGGTTCCAAACTCCCCTGCGAACATGTGGCTCAGGATCAGCCCTCAGTCCAATCCAAAATGCCAAGCTCTACTGAACTTAATGGAAGAGCTCCAGACACACGCTGCTCTTTGCATTACTTTGGTCATTGAAACAATTCTGGAGAAAAGCAGAAACCCAAAACAACCTCCTGTCGGCATTCCCACTAGTCAGTCTACACGTTGCTTTTACAAATTTCTGAATCTATGTAACTTTTCTACCCGCAATCATCCTCTTCGTCCCCAGTAATTAACCTATCCAATAGATGCTAATGCCATGCTTCCAGAACTTGCCAAGCATGCATCAGAGAGATGACATCGTCCTCCCAGCTTTAGAATTTCTAGCAATCTCAAAGCTGAGTTCAAGGAACCAAAACTGGGATTCAAACTAATCTATTCATTAGAAGTTATAATAATAACTCTTGCATTTGATATAGCGCTTTTCAAGTCTTCTAGATGTCTCAAAGCATTCACAGAATACACTGTAAAGTGAATTGCAACAGCCAACTGTGCACAGCATTGTCTCACAAACAGTCGTGGATTGAATGACCAAAATATATATATATTTTTTTTTAAGGATTATTATCCCCGGAAAAGTGATCCGTCAATCGACTAACAACTGGGTTCCTGCTTACTGCTAGGTAAACAGAAGTGCGTATGGAAACCTGGCCAAAATTTCACCCTGAGGGAACAGAATCCAGGTCTCTTGCTTGCAAGTTTCCAAGGTTCTGTGCTTTACCACATTACACAGCCTTCCCAATGTACCTTCAAGTGTACGGATTTCACAAATTGTAAGGAATATATTTACTGGTAGGAAAATTCTGATGCCCTTTAAGGTTTTTAAATTAGTCCTGTGTGGACCTGAAGTTGCTGTACGTGATAACGGAACGAGAACTTCCGATCAATTATGATGCAACCAAATACTCCCCAAAGATAGTATGATTAACATGTACAGTATTTCAATCAAACATTTATATCAACGGCTGCGTTCAGCACCCAGGAAAAATATCAATTTGAAATGATTTTAACTGAAATATTTTCCTTCCATGCATGGCATAACAGAATATGCTTACTATTTGTAAATCAGCACTATGTTTTTTTTAAAAAACGTTCTGTGATGTTATGTCTTCTACGACATGCTACAACATGCTGGACAATTTGATTTTTCTAACGACTGTATATTGATCTTGTCCAAATACAAACAGGATACTTCCCAAGGTCTTATGGAATGCAATAGACAGTACCTCGCAAGGGTGGATATAACATTATAATGCATTCACAATTTTGTTACTTGTGCATTAGTCCAATGCACCCAATTACTCAATATTGTACTCATACCAAGCTTGATATAGAATCACTGTTTAAAATATGCAAGTACTCAACAATAAAATTTATCACAAATAGTAGATCTCGAAAATAAAATGACAAGAGAACTTTATAATAATAATCCTTGCATTTGATATAGCGCCTTATCACGTCTTCAAGATGTCTCAAAGCGCTTCACAGAATATCTGTAAGTGTATAGAATATTTTGTGGGCAAAACACGGCAGCCAATTGTGCACAACAGTGTCCCACAAACAGTGTAGATTGTAGTGAACAATTTTTTTAAAAAAGGGAATTATTTCTCCCGGAAAAGCGATCGGCCAATCAACTAACAACTGGGTTCCTACTTACTGCTAGGGGAAGTAAAATGTAATTACTTTTTTCAAACTGAAGATATTTAGAACAACTTACAAAGTGAAGATTTTGTTAATAAATTTCTCTCTCTTGACCCCTCAAAAGATTGCAGAGGTTAAAGGCACCCTAATTATCATCAATGAGCCAGCTGGTCGTGACATGTGCAAATATGGCACATGGCTCTGCACATCAAAACTGCAAATAGGAATTTGTTATGTAACATTGATGACATGACACAGAACCTTGAAACACCTTTCAGAATTTCGATAAATTCTGAAATAAATCTTTAAGATCTTCTTTGAAGAAAAACACAAATACAATTCTAACCAGGTCAAGGTGGTGCTTACCTGCATTGGTCTCCATAGGTACAGCATCCTTTCTGGTAGTATTTACAAATCATAGAAGGCTTGCTGGTTGTAAGGTCATGGGAGTAGCGGCAGTTATTTCCTTCTTTGCAAACTCCATGCATAAAATATCTACAAGTACAGTTTTACAATTAGTCTTTTCTTAGCTCATCTTCTTCAGTGAATCACTTAATCTTGTTAAATACAGAAAAACCACTGCACTTTTCATTTATCTCTGAGCAATACCATAAGATAAAAGTTTATGAACGTTCCACTATAATCTCTACATTGGATGCCAATTAAAACTCAGAACCTGTTTGGAGGTTGACTGGTAATACAAATTTCGTTTAAGGCAAAAGAGCATGAGTGAATTCAATTTTACCCTTTATTTGTCTCTCAATGATAAAGGGATTGAGCCCTCTATATTGAAATGAATAACTAAGTTTAAAAAAATCAGCACTGCACTACACGCACAGCAAAGCTATTATGGTTATTTAACAGAAGCAGACAGAGAAGAAAAACATCAAGATTCTATGGAAAAATGCAACATTTTATATTAAAAGCACAAAGGGTGTCTAAATGTTGCAACAATTGATAGAATTGCAAGTAAAAGAAGCCCACAGCTCTCAATATCTTCAGTAGAATAATGAGAGTTAATGAATATATTAATAGTAATAATATTTTGATATAGCGCCTTATCACGCCTTTGAGAAGTCTCAAAACGCTTGACTGCATATTTTGTGGGCGAAACGCGGCAGCCAATTGCGCACAGCCATGTGCCACAAACAGTCTTGGATTGAGTTTAACAACCAATAACTCAGGGCAATAAGCCCTCAGATGGGTTAGAGGCATCAGCACCATCGGTGCAAGTTGACCCTTCTCGACACTTCCTGCTTTCTCTGCTGGTGGGGAAGGAGATTTTAAAAAAGTGTATAAAATGTTTATGTAAAGTGTGGGACCATTTTACTACAAAATACACCTAGCAAAGCCATTGTAGTTTACAGTAAATCCCGTGAAGCCCTTTGAGATGTCTCAACGATGTGATAAGGCAAAGCTTATCAACTGTTAGGATTATTTACGTACTTTAAAAAAGTTTAATAAAGACTATTTGACCTTGGAAACTTGTGAGGAAGTGATTAATATTTCCAAAGAAATGTAATAATCTTGTACAAATAAAGAAAATCTAGATTTAATAGAATGGCAAAGAATCAAACACCACATTTCCCAATAGTGAGAGCTTGCAATATTGAGCAATTATTTGGGAATACACCATTTGGGAAAGTCACAATTTCTCAACATTGCAAACTCTCCAACTAGCGAAATACAATATCTAGTTCCCTAAGCATCTGCCACAAGTTTAGCACACTTGGTATAATTGCACACAACCATTTCCCTGAATCTTACAGTAAGTATGTGACCAGATATTATTAACTCACATCTCCCCGTAAATTTTAATCTGTGATATTGTGTCTCCTAATGGAGTGATGTATTCTTTTTATGTATTAGATATAATATAAATGCAAACCAAAATCTTCATTAAGAACAAATTGAAATTTGTACAAATATTTAAAAATAAGGAATAGGAAAGCGAGGAAAATAGGAAAAAGTGGCAGGGAAATCAGAGGTAACATTTTAAATTAAACAGCCTAGATTATGAGCTCAGTTATCCTGTGGAACTCTCCTTTTTGACTGTGAGGTGAGAATGTTACCAAATAAGCCAAAATAGAATGTCATATATGGTGCTTATTTAATGGATTTGGATTGATACAATTATTCAGTCCAGGGAACGGGAGTTTGTTGTGAGTCTGTCATCAGTGCAGGATTAAGTTGACTGTTTTAAATGTTTGCCTACACCATATTGGTAACTATGCTAAGTAAACCAAGTGAGAACATTGTGCACCTCCCATTTCATCTGCTTGGTTTTGTAAAGCAATTTGCATTTTGCAAACCATATTAAGCATACAAATAAGAAATCCAAGGCAATAGAACTGGTAATTCATGAACATTGAAGGTTACTGCCTTATTATCAACACTAAGTGAGATAAGTACATGAGTTCAATGATCTGGTGTCGCCCATACCCCTCTCTCAACAAACACACAGAATGCTATTTGTTTTTAAATGTGAGGTCACATATATGGCTTTAAATCAAATTGCGGAAACGATAAAACTGTAATTTTTGCAATTACAATGTTATATATGTTCACATATTTCATTTGTTCATTTTTAAATTCTCCTTTTCTGAGGCCCGGAACTAAAATTAAAAACGAGATTACTAAAACAAAAATACTTGACAGCCATTTACAGCTTGTATCATACTGAGAATTATGTCATCCTTTCTGTCAAATATACATGCTGCAACAAAGTAACATACAATTTAACTTCCTTTTTCATAAACAGGGCAATATTATTTTTCTTGCCCATTGCATTATATCTCACTATACCTTCCCTCCTCCTTTTTTAATAAGTTCATCTTACATACATTTTCTCTCCCCCATATCGAGTGAATTTAAACACCCCAGACTTAAAACTTTTTGAATTTCATTCACCAAACTAATTTCTCAGCATTCACCACGCGAATACAAAAAAATACATCTTACACATTAGTGAAAAGTTGCCACAATGTCCCAAAGTTCACATATAATAAACTGCTACATTAAAACGCAGTAGTGAAAGGGTAAGGAGGAAGTGTGACCTCGAATACAGCAGTTGAAACGTTTTAAAACACTAGCAGTAAATTCACACTTTTAAGACAGAAAATACATCAGGATCATTATAGGCTACAACGTTATATGTCGCTATAAATATGACTTAATCAATTTGCATAAACAGCTGTTGAAAAAGTATATTTTATTCGAAAAGGATAAATGTCTGGGTCTCCAAACGCTGTTTTTCGTTGATAACACTACGTCACGTCATCTTCCTGTAACTTTGGAACTGTCTTTAGTATTTTATGATCAACAAAAGGCACCGGTTCAGATCCCACTTCAAAAAAAATTGGACGATCAGATTCTTGAATCAACCGCGTTTGAAGAATTTTTTGAAAAAAAAGCTTTAAAACCTTCTCCGCCGAAAGAAGTTATTTTTTTTTGACAAATACATAGGTTTTGCAAAGTGACGTTCATCGCGACTGCATTTATTTTTGAAGCTAAAGCTTTCGCAATCATTCACTCTCCACAGAGTGTGTGTGTGTGTGTGGTGGGGGGGGGGGGGGGGGAGAGAGAGAGAGAGAGAGAGAGACCGACCGGCTCGATGCCCCCCCAGCAAGACCTGGACTGAGCTCAGTGATCAGGAGAGGGTTCGGCGCCCGGTGCAGCTTCACCGAGAAACAACACTGACGCTGCCTCTCCTGGTCGAGACCAAAACCTGACACCGACACAAGCCTCAACAGTCGGCCGGCTACCTCCAGTGGGTCTGTCACTCACTGAGTGTTCGGCTCGGAGACGAGCAACGCCAAGTGCTGTATTGTGTATGTGTGTTTTACCTGCAGGTAACCTGTTTAGTCCAACAACCTCCTCCTCCTCCCGCGCTGCCGCTGCTACCCACTCCCGCTGCTGTCGCCGCCGCCGCAGCCATCCCTATATACGCCGCTGCCTCCGCCATTATCCACCGCCGTCACCGCGCGGCTTCAGCCCGGGCCACCCAGCGGCCCCCGCACTTCCGGAGAGGGAGGAGGGGCTCGAGCTCTGGGGCTCGCGGCGACTCACAGCAACCGCTCCAGCTCGCGGCGCCGCGCCGGCTCCAGCCTCGGCCTCCGCTCGCGACCGCGCCTGAGCCTTGGCGCGGCGACGCCTACGCAGGCTGTCAGGTCGCTTGGGGAAGCAGAAGCAGCCGTCGCCCGAGCTCTTCGACGGGTCGGATGGTGGCGGAGGCTCACTCCGCCTAACGGCCGCCCGGGATTGAGATGGATACCTCGGGTCGCGGCCGCCGCTACAGCCCCTGACAAGAGAGTGGAAGATGTAAGAGAGGAAGAAGCACGTTAGGTTGGAGCGGGTGAGCAGCAGCAGCAAAGGAGGGGGCGTGATAACCATAGGGGTCCTGGTCCGCCGGTTGCAGATCTCTATGGCAACGCGGCGACGCGATAAGCCGCTCCGGGGACGCGGGGATTTCCGGAGAAGCGATTCGGGAGGACTCGGCAATTTCCGGAGGGCGAGTGGGAGCGGAGGGGTGGGGGATGGTGAAGGCGAGGGAGAGGGTGACACTATGGCGGGGATCGGGGGAGGAAATGTGATCCCGCTTGAAATGAACTTTTTAAAAAAAATAGGCTTTGTTACCGTAAATACCGATGTCATTTAAACGCGTTTACAACCAGTAAATAACTATATATATTTTGTTTTTCTGTACAGGTGAGAGCTTGAACGACTCATCAGGTCGTCGTTGCTGCTCGTGTGCTGCGAGGATACTTACCGAAGGCAAACATGTGGACCAAACAACAACAGATTGGGAGCCTTTCAATTGTGTTTGTGTGTGTGTGTGTGTGAGAGCTATTTATTTAAAACCACTGACCCAACCATTGCTTGTTACTGTTTTGGTATCCGAGCGCCTACTGCGAGTTTTCTCGCCGCACCACTTCTGTTTACCGAACAGTAAGTCGAAACCCGGTCGTTGACAGTCGATCGGCGGTCGCTTTCCGAGGGTAATAAACCCCACCAAATGAACCAATACCTTTGGTCGTTCGTGGAACACTAATTGGCTGCCACATTTCGTCCACAAAATATGCAGTCAATCCACTTCACAGTATACTCCGTGAAGCGCTTTTGGACGTCTAAACAACTTAATAAGGCGCGATATCAAATGCAAGGATTATGATTATTATTTATGAATACTTAAATCTGAAAAACACAACGGCCTTTAAATCTGGACCATACAGATTACATCTCAGTGGTTGGCAAGTATTTTTTTAAACCAGATGTTCAATTGTGTTAGGCTGCATTCTGAATGCCTATCTCAAATTACCATTGTTTTAGTGCCCATCCCAAGATTGGTGGTATATTACCCTGTGGAAATTGCATTTGCGGTCCTGTTGGCTGGTATATTTCTTCCACCACAAATGGGTCATGATCAAATTATGCATTGAATTGCTATAAATAATAGCATAATTTACAACAATCCCATGATGTTTAGGGCACTCTGCAAAACTTAACTACCAAATAAAAACAATTTTCCCCAAATTCTACAAGAGTATTAAATTTTAAGACAATGTTCATAAGGTTTAGCCCAAGATTGTTTTGGGCCCTCAGATTACAGAATACATGTAATAAGTACAATTTGAGATCAATTTGATATGTTGTATATTCTATTTTGTCCTTTTCAAAATATATCTTGTTATTAATTCAGGAGAAAATGAAGCAGTGCTCTTCAGAATAGAACAAAAGGATTGTAGATTTAGCTGATGTACCAACAAAGTAGATATGAATGGTAAAAATGGGATGAATCAAAACAAATCAATTGCTTATCTCCCAACATTTAGAAATGGAATCATATTTGGACGTTCATATGATTTCATCTTTTATCACTTATAAAAGGTAGATATTGGGTTAAGATGCATACTATTATTTTAAAGTTAACCTGCAAGAGAATCAAATATATGAACAATGGTCGTTAAAAGAAACTTAAAATAATGTAAATAAACCACTTGAAAATTTTGTTTGTTTTAATTTTTGTGTCATATGGGGTATCATATTCATGTGATTACATTGATCACGTGTAAAATGATGTAAAAGAAAGGTTAATCAAAATCCTCAGAGTAAGGAGTATGTAACATTTGGTTAATACACAACTTGTTTACTAAGAAATGTTACAAATCTGAGCAAAGACATTGGACGATAACAGGAATGGAACGTTAGGCCTTGGCTTTGGTTCTGATCCGTTATTATTTTATTGCAACAGTTTTGTTTTATCCCAACAGTTTTGGAAAGTCGTTGACATTATCTAATGGCTTCTATTCAATAAAGGATTTGTGATGGCACCAGTAGACTTTTATTTTCTCTTCCAAGATATTGCATTAGGCAAATACATTTTAGGAATCCTGCAGATTTTCAAGGTAGATAGGATGTAAAGAATAGAAATGCGGTATTTCTACTAAATTGGTAATAATCAAAAATTAATTCAAAGACCTTTGAGTCTACTATTTTAATTACATGGTTAAAAATTGACACTAAACTGCCTATTGCCCTTACCATTACTTTACTGGCACATATGCATGTGCCAGATACTTGGCAGATCAGCACCTGGATGTTCAGTGCTCTCAGATAATGCAGATTTCATATTTTGGAATAGGATTATAATTCTGATGATGGATGTCCTGTACTGCTCTAAACTGGATGAACGTATAATGGCAGTTCATCATCTGTTCTTAAACCCACTTCTGTAATTCGCATTTCCCTTATGACAAACATTGTCTTATAAAAATATCTTATTTACCATGATCAGGTTTTTTTCATTCTTATTAGTATTGTGTTGGAATATTCCATATAATTCTGGTCTACAAAAACAATTACATATTTTTAATTTTAAATTCCAGATTCATAATAGCTATCATAGCAACTACCGTATGAGTAGACAATTGATTTTCGTATAAGAGCAGCTGTAGTAGAAACATAATGCAGTGGTCAGTCCATATTATGCACTGCTGCGGTTTTGCGAATGAGCCTCTGGGTTAGCAAGGAGTTAGGCCTAAAAGCTTCTCGCTCCACTAACAAACATCTGTAAGGAATACAATAAAAAAAAATATTGTGTTAAACTAAAAAGCCAAAATGATCAGGCCTAAAAAAGAGTTAAATTCATATTCCTATCGCATTTTGAATTTTTTGGAACAGTAACTGATTGATTGAATGCCTATACGTGCCTTTTAATGAGTGTAATATCATGATATCACTTAGCAGCATTGAACAACAGGGTAGCTTGGAGACATTGAAGTTCTGAAGTGAATCACTCTTTCAGCATTATTTGTGCTGCCAAGAGACACAAGTGGAATCATCACACAATGAAATGATGTTCACTCCAAATCCAATCTTTGAGTCCAGCTTTAAATATACTTAAAAACAAGAAACCTGGATTCCTGACAAGCTGAGCTAGTCTGTGACCCAAGTATCAGGGACAATTAAACACCAACCCAATGCATCATCTCATTTCCAATGAAGCAACCTTGGTAATGGTTTAGTTATCTGGCCTAACTTCCTTGATCAACTTTAAAAGAATAACTTAATAAATAGTTGTTCAGATCTGGAATTCATTGGCTGAAAGGGTGGTGGAAGCTGATTCGATAACAATTTTCAAGAGAATAGATAATTATTTGGGGAGGACAAGTTTGCAGGGCTATGGGGGGAGTGCAGGGGAGTGGGATTAATTTGGACAGCTCTTTCAAAGAGCCGGCACGGATACGATGGGCCAAATGGCCTCCTTCTGTGCTGTATAATTCTGTGAAATCATTTATCAATTATTTAGCACACACTGTACCTGGCTAGTTTCTGGTGAAATCTGCTTTCTGATCTTATAGCAGCGTGGATCAGCAACTGGTTGAAGAGATCTCTCTGCATGAAAGAAAGTTACTTTAATGTACAGTTCAATATTCAGTTGAAAATGTATTGCTACAAGCTATTTTATGAAACGCAGTATCCTCTTCCCATCAAATAACAATTCAATCTCATTGCAGGTTCCTGTCATTCACCACTGCTTTGCCACAAAACCACCACTAAGAAAAGCAAAGGGTAAAGTTGTAAGAAATGCATTTTAATTGTTTTTAAATTTATGAAGGATAATATATCATGTTAGATGTTGTCTAACTGAGGATAATATAGTCTTCCTACAAGGCAATACCTTAGGACAAGCAGCGGGAAAGCTTGCCAGACAGCAATATCAATGGCAAGTTATGCGGTTTTAGCTGGTTACAATCCAGCAGTACCCCAACACACACTCTGGAGTTCCCAAGCCTTCGCTCACAGGATAGTCCTCCAGGGAGAGAGTGTTCATTCCATTCAAACTATCTTATCTCTGGGATTTTCCATATGTAGGTGAAATGCATGGAAATCTCAGCTTGGTTTGGATACTCTTAAGCATGGTGATGGATTTCCGCATGTGTCAGATATCCGTCTCACCATAAGAAAATCTCAGATGAGATGACGCTGCAAACTGATAAGCTTTGTTCCCATTGTTCATAACGCAGCCTCAATCCCTGATGTGTTACTGCCTAATAACAAACTGCAGGTTGTGTATTAACCATGTGTAAAACACACATAAACTGACAACATTTAGTTCCAATACCATTGCAATTTAAATCACATGGCACAGTTCCATGTCATGTGATTCAATCACAAAAGCTCCAGCAGTGAGGGTTAAAAAAANTGTCCAAACCATGTCAGAATAAACACAGTAATCACAAATTGTCGGTACAATTGCGGTTTCAAATCAGGAGCTCAAATCTGTTCAAATACCTCACCCATCTTGGCAATAGTACCTAAATGCCAACCAATTTGTTCACCTATATCAAACCAAAAAAGTTTTAAAAGCATCTCAACAATGAATTTGTGTGACAATATGAGTTACATAGGTACTGTCTTCACACTACAATTTGTTGCCTGTGAAAACAGGGTATGTGCCACAACTCCAATATGCCATTTTATTCGAGAAAACTAGATAAAGTACATTCATTTTGACTGATAATATTGGGTCATCCAGAAAGGAAACTGCACAATACCTGAGCGTTGCTTCCCCCAATGTTTTGGATCTGGTAACGAATTGGATTTAATAGATTCACAGTCTGGCTATAATTTCCATTTGCAAACTCTATCATTGCCTGACATATAGGAAGTCCCAAATCCTGAGCCATGCGATGTTGATAATTCTCACCAGGAGTTCTGCCAAATATCATGAAGAAAAAAGTGAATGAACAAGTATATCACAATTAAATGTTACTGTAGTCGATTGTAGCATAACAGAAATGTGGTTACTTTTTTAAAAAATCTATCCGCATGTTCTTCAGAAATCTATTTTAAACATGTTATTTTATGGGGAGAAATTCCATCTGGGTCCAGATGTACTTTATTTATGTAATATTTCAATGAGTCTATAAAGTAAATCTGGACCCAGGTGGAATTTCTCCCTAAAGTGCTCTTTCAGACAAACAAGAGAATCTGATTTCTCACAAAAGACTGTTTTCCTTACGAGTGGAATAAATTCCACATTGAAGCCTCAATCACATATCATAAAGGGGTAATTTTACAAATACTGCAAATAATTGATTCATAGAGAGTTCGGCCGAATGTGCTGTACAAAATTAACCCAGTTAACAGGAGTGGTAACTGCACCATCTTACCAGTACGAAACACTGGTATGTTTTACAATTCTTGTCCAGCTAGGACTGCTGTAATTCCTAACGCTTTACCTTGAGAGTAAATCAACGACTCCTATTCTCATTCATAAAGTAGACGAACTAGTCAACCATAATAGTGCATTGGATTACTGTGGAACTGTATTGGCCACCCACGCCTCCCGAATCCAAGCCCCGGGTTGGGTGCATACCCTTGACTGTCCAACACTTTGGGATGGCCTCCTGACATGAAAGGCGCTATATAAATGCAATTTGTTGTTATTTTTGACCAATTCAATCTCAAATAAACCACACTTATCTTCTTTCCCCCTACCCACCCCCCCAGAAGCATATTTTTAAATACAGTATTCCAAAAAAGCAAATTATAAATGGAGAAAGGCTAAGTGGACCCACAATGATTCAAGACTGGTACTCAACTAATTGAGCTACCTAGTCTATATTATCTGAACACTTCTGGAAGTGAATCAGAAATCTCACATTTTAATTCAACACAGTGGTCAAACTCCCAATTTCTCTTTTCTTCAAAAATGAAGATGACAGTACTTGAGAATCAAACTTTTCGCTCTTTTCAGCCGATAACGAGTGCACCCCATCACTCAAAGCTGCGTTCAAATTCAGATTCTTGAGTTGCATAGGTAGTTTCTTCACACTGTGCTATTTACATGCAGATTGAAATGTGTCCACTAGAGGAAGTTCAAGAGGGAGTCTCACCATCAGCACTGCTACATTTGTATATTGTTGTTTAATATCTGTATTTGCATTTTATACCATTAGTATCTCCTTGCACCAGATCCAGCAGACAAGCTGACACGTGGATAGATATTTGTTAGGTTAGGGTAAGGGATATGGGGCAAGGGCGGGTAATTGGAGTTGAGGTACACATCAACCATGATCTTATAGAATGGCGGGACAGACTCGAGGGGCTGAATGGCCTACTGTTTCTATGACCCACTCTTATGCTTTCAGATAGCTTTAACAAAAATGTTCTGAATAAAATCTTCAAATCAAATTCTGACATATCCTTACTGTGCAACTTCTTGCAATGAGCTGATGAGCTGATTGGTTGTCTCAACATCTTTGGCTCCAAGGAAGGACATTAGTACATGAGCGTCATTGAAGATAAGAATGTGATCTTTAGCGTGCAGCTTGGTGACTCTGATGAGCTCCTTCCAGCGACTGTCAACATTAATGCCTGTGTGAAATTATAAAGTCACCAAGGAAAGTCTGATGTGTCCAGTGTTAGATTAATGGGCTAGTCATGTAACCAGTAGATTTATTTTTATGGTAAGGCAACACAGTTACTTTGTTCATCTTCCACTTCCTCCCTGTGGGGAAGCTGTTGCTTAAACAACGACAACAACTTGCATTTATATAGCCCCCTTCACATGCGGCAGTGTCTCAGAGTGGTTAACGGTGGTGGAGCTTGACGCCGAGCCAGAGGGAGGGATGAGATGACCGTAAGCACAGTTGAAGGGGAAGGTGTTCAGTCGTGATCTAAAATAAGGGAAGGAGGCGGCAAGGTGGAAGGATTGAGGGAGAGAGTTCCAAAGCTCGAGGTATAGAGGCTGAAAGAATGGCTGAAGTGGTGGATCAGAGGGGACAAAGGACAAGCAGGAGGGCCAGAGTCAGCCAAGCAGAGGCAGCAGGTAGTGCAGTGAGAAAATAGGCAGTCGGTAAGGTAGGGAGGTGCCAGGGCGCGAAGGTATTTGTAGATGATTTGTACATGAAATTGATCCGTTCTACACGTCTGCTCAATGGACTGACAAAGACTGGACTGTGGAAAAATCACAAGGGGAACTAGTGTTGCCAAACACTGGAGGAGCAGCACACGTTTCCTATTCAGCCAATTTTCGCACAGCAATCATCCCTAAACATATGGGAAGTGAATGACCAATTTTATTTGGGGTATTGCTGTCCAGGATCCTGAGAGAAACTCATTTCTCTTTTCAAATAGAGTCATGTGATCTTTAAAGTTCACCTGAACAAGCAGATGGGGCTTCAGTTTAATGCATCTCATGTGAAGGATGGCACTTCCAACAATGGTGTGGACTGAGTTCAAAGTCCCAATGGTGCTTGAACGCATATCCTTCTGACTCAGAGGTGAGAGTAAGGCCATCTGAACAAGGCTGAGACCTGTTTGACACATCTGATACACAACAGAGAAAATTGCTCTTACCTTCCATTTGGAGACGGTACAACATGGAACTCGTGTCTACAATATCGAGCATTGATGCAGATTTCATACAAGATGGGGACATCTGCAGCAAAATAGCAGTCAGTGGAAGAAACTAAAGCATCACACTGACAACCTCACATAGATAAAGTAAGCGGGAAAGAAAACTGAGGCAAAAAGGAAGTGTATCTCAGACAGCCTAAGGGATATAATAATAATCCTTACATTTGATATGGCGCCTTACCACATCGAGGCATGTCAAAGCACTTCCCAGAATATAATTGTAAAGGGGATTAACTGTGTATTTTGTGGGTGAAACACGGAAATCAATTACGTACAGCAGTGTCCCACAAACAATCGTGGATTAAGTCACCAGATTTTTTTTCGAGGGGTTATTAACATCGGAAAGCGATTTGCTGATCGACTAACAACTGGGTTCCTACTTACTGCTAGGTAAGCAGGCATGTGGAATAAGAAAGCTTGCATAAGGTTTCACCCTGCCCAGGAATCGAACCCGGGTCCTCTTGTGAGCTTGATAACAACAACACTATGGGACTCCACATCTAGGGGGGGAGGTTTGAAAATATGCACATAGAAATTCAGACATCATATCTGGATTGCTTTAAATTAATATTATACACCAAATGACTGTGACAACCTTACTGTTTTTTTAATAAAATAAATCAGATGCAGTGAATCTGTTTGTCCTGGAGAACTTTGGTGAGGAAATATTTCAATGATTAATTTTCATAAGTAGTTTTGCATGTGAAAAAAACATGGCATACACAAAAGCCACACCATGTTGTTTTTCATTCAGCGTCAGTCCACACATTGCTGGAGTTGATTTTTCAGTTATTGTTCTTAAAAAGTACACAGTGTCCATAGGCCAAATATGTTTCTAATTGCGTTTTCACAAGGACTGCACAGAAAAACATTACAACTTCTCTCTTACCAAAAGCAAAATAAAAATATAAACCCAGTATCCCCTGTTAAACAGATGTTTTATCAAATAGCTTCTCCGTTCAGCAACTTAAAATTTGTGTACTCACATTAACATCATAGAGCGTTAGTGCTGCTTCATATTCACCCTAGGTGCAAAGGAGAGTTGTTAAGCAGGCATTATCTACTCAGCGCGGCTGTAAATCCAGTTGAGCAGTTTCAGGGTGGGGCATATTCTGGCATCAAGCACTCCTGGAGTGAGTGAAGCATTGTGACATGTCTTCTTCTCTGACCCAAACGTACCTTTAATCTATTTAATGAGTGAAAGTCCATTGATCTCAAACTTGAGAAACAAAGTATCGAGTGGAAGAGGTATCAAATGACTCGATAAGTAGCAGATTGTGTCATTAGTGTTTGGTGCATTTGGTGGCCTTTAAAATGTTTTCGTGGGATAGGAAGACAGGGTAAAAGTGACTGTCAATGCATTTTCTTCTTTTCGACCACACACAAGAAAGAGGTAATCAGTTATTATCTCAGTCTGTTGATTCATTCTCTCTCATGGCCTTGCTCTTTCCTTCCAAAATTACAAGATAAATAGGGAGAAATTATTTCCTATGGTCTATAAATCATTAAGTCAAGGGTGCAAATTTTAGATTACCAAAAAAACACACAAGGAGAGGTTAGGAGATTGATTTTTCTACACAGAAGATTATTAGGACATGGAATAACCTACCAAAACGGTGGTTGAAGCAGAATCCACAATTGGACAAGAAATTTTAAAAAGAAAACTATGAAGATTATGGGGAAAATAATTGTTTTTGGAGAGCAGCCTCAGAAATGATTCTATGATTTTATCCCCTGAAGCAGAGAAAGGGAATGGCAGTACACGTTCACTTCTGGCCTGTGAGGGAATTCATAAGTCATTTTAAAGTGGGATCAATTACTCTAGTGTCAGTAAGAAAGAGACACATTCACCAGTTCATATTCTGACATGAAGGAACATCCTTCATTCCTTCTTACAAGGCAGTATTAAATATTAAATCTTTATGGTGCATCTAAAATGTCAAATAATAGACTGACATGATCAGAAGACCAGGGTGCAGTGGGCAAATGAGGTGGATTTCATGTAACTCATTTACAAACCTTTTCAATGTGGCAGAGTGCCCAGTGCCAGTAATTATGACAGGCAAGCAGATCACAGTCCTGTGAAAGATCAGAAACACAATGACTGCAAACAATTCCACTTAAAGCAATTTGATACCTACCCCCTCCCCCACCACCCCACCCTCTTCACGCACACCATTCCATGTTATCATGCCTCTTCATAGCTAACCATTCCATGCTTCAACCTTTCACAGGCCACAACTGACTTTTATTCCAAAGTCATCCTGGAAGCAAACTACAATCCAAAGACGAGGTCCTGGATTTCTTTGCCTCAAAAATTGAAAACATACGCTTGGCTGAATCGTCTTCCTCACCCCCATGTCCTCTTCCATCCTACTCAAACCATTCACACTGCCTTCTCCCTCCATCACGGCTCCTGCCACTCCCCCCACCCCTCCTTACACTCCTTTGCCCCCACTTCCTGCAGCTGAAGGTGGACAAGACAGAAGCCATACTCCTTGGCTTCCATCAACGTCTTGACTCCTGCAGATCGGAACTCCTCAACCTCCCTCACAATCACCAAAACAGTACACAACCTAGGCATCCAGTTCGACCCCCAGCTGTCCTTCCTCCCCCACATCTGGTCCCTGACGAGGACCGCCTTCTTCCACCTCCGCCACATTGCCCGCCTCCGACTGTACCCCAAATGCAGTCGAAACCCTCATGCACACATTTGTCACTCCCGCTTGGATTACTCCAACGCACTTCTCGCCGGTATCTCCAGCCCCACTGTTCACAAGATCCAGCCCATTCAAAATTCTGCTGTCCGCATATTGACCCGAACCAAACTCTGTACCCACATCTCACCAGTTCTGGCCAGGCTCCACTGGCTCCCCATCACCGAACAGATGGACTTCAAGATCTTTACACTTGTGTTCAAATCCATTCACTCCCTGGCACCTCCCTACCTTTCCGACCTCCTCACTCCCCAATCCACCACCCGCGCTTCTGCTCGACTGGCACTGGCCTCCTGCTCGTCCCTCGCACCCTCTGCCCCACCATCGGAGGTCGTGCTTTCAGCCACTGCGCCCCAAAACGCGGAAACGCTCTCCCTCAATCCCTCCACCTTGCCCTCTCACTCCCCTCTTTCAAGGCCCGCCTCAAGACTTGCCTGTTCGACCTTGCTTACGTTCACATCCCGCCACCCCCCAGCTCAGAGTCAGGCTCTGCCACTGTTAAGCCCTGATGGGTTTGGCAACCCTGATAGCAGGCATTTGTGCAATGTTTGAACCTGTTAGAACTTAGGGAAGATGTGTGACAACAATGGCAGTTGATCTCATTTCATGTGTTCCACATCTTCTTCCCTGTTGGTTAATCTATCAATAACATCATTAAAGGATTCGGCTGCTAGGTAATCCCCTGAGCTACAGTTCTGCATACATGGTAAAGACAGAACTGAAGAATATCTATTATTCTTAGATAGATTTGTAGCAATGCTCCAACCTAGCTGAACATAAATTATTGAATCCAGTATCTAACCACGTAGGTGTGCACCCTAACTTTTATATACAAAGTTATTTTAAAAACATTCTGTTCTGTGGGAGCTGTAGACCAAGCTCTGGAAATTTCAACATGGGGGTGAGCCAGGAGCTAGACTCTCAGATAGATTATGCCTGGGAGTCAGTCTGCAATAATATATAATCCACAGGTGGACTATTGGTGAAATCTTTCTGGAATAAACTGTGCCCCATAAATGAAACAATAGAGTACAGTGTTTAACAAATGAATCTTTTTTATATACTAAGGTATCCTGGTTATATCCTGGCTTACGCACAGGTGAATCGGGACTGCATGAATGTACAGCACGATATCCAGTTGCACACATTCTTAATAACAATAATAATGTTTTACCACCACCTGGGAATCGAACTCAGGTCTTCTCACTTGCGAGGTGAGCAGGTCAACCACTATGCTACAGGACTCCACATTTTTCCAGGCCTTTGATAGAATGCTGCACTTGAGCTTGCAAGTGGACATCAGGAAGTGCTGTCATTTTTCACCTCATAATTTTCCCTCTGTTCTCTTGTGGGAACTACTGACCAAAGCGCTGGCACCTCCCAGCTGCTTTGTTAAGATCAGGAACTTAGTGGAGTGGATTTGAACTTTGTGGCACAGCATATCAGTGCTCCACTGGTACACTATCCTACTTAACGCACTAGCCTTTAGTAGCGGTGGATTAGGTGCTGCCTATCTCAGAGGGCTTCTCAAGTTTACCTTCCAGTCATTCTCTGTTTGCTTCATGAACTTTAATCCACTGTCTGGTTCTGCACGCATCTCATGTACGTGGGCAATACTGTGAACAGACCAGGCATCATTTGGGTTCAAAGCCAAGCCCTAAGGTGGAGAAAGAAAACAATCCAAAAATTGAGAACACAAGAACAAAAGCGTATTGCGAAGATATCTACCGACATTCATTTTGTACGGATAATGAGTTTTCATGGGTTAGAATGTAAGAGGATTGATAATACTACAATTTCATCGTCAAGAATGTCAGGAAGGTGCATTGAAGTTGAAACAATCTGGATCTATGATAGTCAGCAATCAGTGTCATATCTTGCTGTGTGTGCATTGCACGTACATAGAGCATTGCATGTACATAGAACACTGCATCTCTGTAGATGTCTTATGTTTTATAACAAATGCAAGTATTATTATGGATGTACTTGTTTCACGGGCCAGGCGCACTCATAAACTTTGTGATTTTTTCCCTCATACCCAAATTTCTCAAACACAACACTGGTTCAATATACTGAATGCAACATCTGCAATGTTCCAAAAGCATTTTGAAAACTTCAGAAGTGTGCACCAGGAGGTTCTGTCTGAGAAGTGGATCATCAGAATGTGCATTATAATAGAGCTCTTGTAGCAATTGCAAGGCAATAATTTAATGAAGGGTTTCAAATAGTTCATGTACAGAATCAAATGCTTATTTCACTGAACGATTATCAGTTCATAAAATTCAGATACGTACTAACGCAATGACAACCTCAACTGATTTTTATATTCTCAGAACACCAGGTCGACAGCAACAGATAGTTTTGCATCATCATTATCAAGGATAAGTGAAATTGACTGATATCTAAAAGTAACATCCTTGCTGTCTTACCAATAGTGATATTTTTTTAAATTCTCACCTCTTTTGCTACTTTTTCTGCCAGATCATAAAAATTTGTCTCCACCAACCCAAATGAATACATGCCTTTCAGGAAGCTGCATAAGATCACAAAGAATTGTCAAAATAATTCTGCCATTTAATTTGGCATGCACATTCCATTGCATTAATCCATTACAATATAGCACATATAGGACAGCATTGGGGGGCTGGGTTCAAATCCAGCTTAGACTGATGGAATGATCATGTATTCCAATCTGCCAACTGTAGGTGCCTTTAGTAAAAGAACAAGACATTCTAAACTTGGTATCCAGTGAGTATCTGACTGCCCTAATTAAGCATGAAGTAATACAATACTGTAGATTCACTCAAGAAGTTACAAGGATGGCTGGTGTGAGAAGAGGTGCATTGCTAATGTAACACTTCAGTCAGATAACAGAAGCTGCAGAGAAGCCTGCATTGCTCTGTATTTCAAGTGAGATCTCAGTGGTTGGAGTACTCGCCTCTCAAGCGAGAGACCTGGATTTGATTCCCAGCAGCGTGAAATGTTGGGCAAGTTCCCTTCCACACGCCTCTGTTTACTTAGCAATAAGTAGAAACCAGTTGTTAAGTCGATTGGTGGATCGCTTATCTGGGGGTGATAATTCCTTCAAAAAACATTGGTCACTCAATCCTCGACTGTTTGTGGGACACCGCTGTGTGCAATTGGCTGTGGCGTTCGCCACAAAATATGCAGTCAATTCACTTTACAGTATCTTCTATGAAGTGCTTTGAGACGTCTCAAAGGCATAATAAGGCACTATATCAAATGCAAGGATTATTATTACTGCTAATTGTCTAAAACCATTTATACCAAAGATAATAATTTATACCAATTATACCAAATTTATACCAAAGATAATAATAGTCCTTGTATTCTTGGTGATTACCGCAACCAATTCGCACATAGCAATTTTTTACAAACAGCCAAGAAGTGAATGGATAACTTATTTTCAGTTTGCTTTCTTCTTCTGAATAACCTCATCTTATACTATTTCCCCTCCGAGACACAAACAGATAACCTGCTCCAAGAAATTGGGTCAATCCTATTCTGTATTTAGTCATAAAGGGTAATTAAGGTATTTGGCACAAAGGGTATTAGCCACAAAGGGTTGAGAAATAACATTCACTGCAATGACCTATAACTTTATCTTTGTGGGGTGGTTGGCCAGGACACCAGGAGAAACCCTCTCTTCTTTTTGAGTTGGTACCAAGGGACCTTCAACGTCTAACCGAATATAACCAGAAAACACTGAGGTATGAATACATTTAAAAAACACACTGGTGCTGACAGATAATGTTTACCACTAGGTACCTACCCATAGTGAGGAATCTGTGGCGTCCAGTGAGGCAGGACTCTTGCGATCGAATCTCTTATCTGCTGCGGGTGACCCAGGTAAAAGTATGAATCATGTGCTAGCTTCAGTGCCAGCATGTCAGTCGGATGGTCCACAAGGATCTTTTCCCAAATCTCACACGCTTTTGGAAAAGACCTAAAGGGTTGATGAGAAATTAATTTATTATTTTATTTATGGTCCCAATCATAACACTAAAAATATCTAAATTGTATTACATATATGGGGTCTACCTTGTGGTATTTCTTACTGGATCCCTTATTAATATTAATAATAATAATCCTTGCATTTGATATAGCGCCTTATCACTTCTTCGAGACGTCTCAAAGCACTTCACAGAATATTCTGTAAAGTGAATTGACTGTATATTTTGTGGGTGAAACGTGGCAGCCAATTGCGCACGGCAGTGTCCCACAAATAGTTGTGGATTGAGTGACCAATTTATTATTTTTTTTGAAGGAATTATTATCCCTGCAAAAGCGATCTGCCAATTTACTAACAACCAGGTTCCTACTTACTGTTAGGTAAACAGAAGTGTGTGGAGTAAGGAAACTTGCCCAGCGATTCGTCCTGCATGGAAATCGATCCCAGGTCTCTCATTTGCAAGTGAGTGCTCTAACCACTGAGCTACAGGAAGGAATAAAGCTGCGGAAAGTGCTTTGTGACGTCCTCTCAATTTGAAAGGCACTATTTAAATGTAAATTGTATTGTACTGTATTATCCAAGTAGTACAAATGGGAACTCCTTGTAGAAACCAGATGAACGTCACACCAACCCACAGCACCTCTTGTCTGACACAACTGGAGCAACCGTATGGGGTATTGACATGAATCTTAATGGTAATACTTATTAAGAAATACTACAAATTAAGCTCTAAAATAGCCTATAAAGTTGATTATTACCTTGGGGAAAAAAAATTCAATTTAATTTAGCTCACCTCTTACTAAAATATTCTGTATTAGTAGGAGGTGTATTCTGTATCCATTTCGGCCATAAAATATACAATGAATTTACTTTAGAGAATATATATGGAATCCTGTAGCTCAGTGGTTAGAGCACTCGCCTTGCAAGCGAGACACCTGGGTTCAATTCCAGGCAGGGCGAAACCTTGGGCAAGTTTCCTTACTCCACACAGAGCCTAATAATAATCCCTCCAAAAAACAAAACAATAATAAATTGGTCATTTTCAATCCACGACTGTTTGTGGGACATTGCTGTGCGCAATTGGCTGCCGCGTTCGCCCACAAATATACAGTCAATTCATTTTACAGCATATTCTGTGAAGCGCTTTGAGACGTCGAGAAGACGTGAAAAGCGCTATATCAAATGCAAGGATTATTATTATTATTATGTGAATCGCTTTGAGACATCCCAAAGACATATAAGGCACTATATTAAATGCAAGGTTTATTATTATTATTATAACAGCCAGTCCCAGGAACTAGAGGTCCAGCTTTATTCTCACTACGGATTGAAAGCAAATTTTGATGAACCTCCTCACCCTTTGGCAAACATTTCGAGGGCCTGCACGTGGAGGAGCTCCCGCCCACAGATGACTTGTGTCTTTGAAAGGTCAACCATCCTCTTCACGGCAGAATTCAGCTCTTCATCCAGAAAAACAGAACGTGCTGTACCAATTAGTTCCAGCCCGTTCACAATCACTTGGCCCATCACTGAGACGAGGAACAAACAAAAGGAGAACAAAGGTCAGATGGAGCAAGAGCCAAAATTAGAACAGGGTGAGAAGCCATAAGACGAACAGAAATGCAGAACGAGGAACAGAAACACAAAGAGTAATATGTTACATATTCTTAGTAGAATGTTATATATATATAACTCTCCAAATATATTGAATTGTCCCTATTTTCAGCTTGTTTTCTTCATCTGCGTATCCTCATCCCATACCATTTCCCCTCCGAGACGCGAACTGATGACCAGCTCCTAGAACTTGGGACAATCCTATTCTATACTTAGCCACAAAGGGTAATCTACTCTTTAGGAATCCCTTAGTGTTTCCTTACTCCAAATGTTTCTGTTTATCTAGCAGTAAGTAGGAACCTGGTTGTTATAACAACTTGCAGTTATATAGCGGCCTTCACATGGGGTAGCGTCTCAGAGCACTTGTTAGTCGATTTGCGAAGCGCTTTCCAGGTGTAATTATCCCTCCAAAAAACAGTTTGATCACTCCATGGCTGTTTGTGGGACACAGTTTGCATAATTGGCTGCCACGTCGCGCCCAAAAAATACAGTCAATCCGAGCTGGACAGAATTTCAAACTGTTGTGCCTAAGAAGGTCAATCTTTTCCATTAAGCAGCTTTTACCCAACCCATCTGAGATTTTGAATACAGTAAAACCGCAGGGATTGTGAAAATCTGGAACTCTCTCCTCCAAAATTCTGTGGATGCAGGATCAATTGAAGTTTTCAAGACTGAGGTGGTTAGATTTTTGTTAGGGTATTAAGGGGTATAGAGCAAAGTCAGACAAATGGAGTTGAGGTACAGATTAACCTCGATCTAATACAGGGTGACAAAAGGTCACAATACCATTACAGTGTCTAATAAGTGTTGAAGTGGAGATTTTTTTTAGATAATAGAGTAGTTATCACGACCTTTTGGTCACCCTGTAGAACAGCGGAATAGGCTGGAGGGGCTGAATGGCCTACTCCTGTTCCTATGTTTCTGAAATAACAGATACATTCACACCAACATTCATTCTCTGTTTACCGAAGTCTGGGTCTGCAACTTGAAGTCGGGATATACACCCTTCAATTCCCCCGAGACTCTGGTCGTTGGAGAAACTCACTAACTGCAGTAGGAAGGGAAAATATTAGCTTTTTGCCCTCTGAATCATTTAGATAGTTATAGTGACCATTTCTCTCTGCGAAGCAACAGGAAATGCAAAAGATTCCATGATACAGGATACAACCCATTCAAGGTAAATATATCTAGATGGAATTAATTGTGTGTTCCTCCTTTAACAATTCATTCGAGGTAAATATAGCTAGATGGAATTAATTGTGTGTTCTCCGTCTGAGTATTGAAATGTAGGTTACTTGAACTCTAACTCACTCTGGGACTAGTTAACGCCCAAGAAAAAGACGCCTTGAGGCACATATGAGACTAGAAGCACCTTGAGTACGTTTGGGAGAAGACATTTAGCAGTAGATTTAATACATTCCATCACACACTACCTCGAGACTATTGTCATCAGAATTACAATCTGTTTTGCAGTTAACATTCATGCTCCTGACGTGAAAGGTGCCAGATAAATGCAATTTGTTCTTGTTACTGTGAGGTAGTAAAAGGTTAATACGGTGAATACGTGGGATCATTGAGAGGGTTCACAGGGGTTCGGAGCCAGATATCTGTTAAATTTGTTAGCTTCAGATATCAATTTGTTTATCTTTCTTAAGGTGTAAAAATGTTGGTTAGGTGCTTTCGGTTTATGGCTTTTTTGTTAGATTTTGTGAGTTAATGGGTTTTAGGATCCTGCAGAGTTTTTTAGTCTGAAGGATAGTTAACAAGTTTTATGTTTTCAATTTGTCAAAGTATGCAGAACAGTTAAAAAGAGTCACATTAGGGGTATAAGAGGAGTGGAGTTATATGGGTGTTGTTGAGATTTGGAGTTTTAACTAACACTTGACTCTAACATTACCAATAATAAAAATTCTGAATCTCAGGAACTTTGAGGAGATGTGAATTTGGGGTATTTACTCTATTCGTTTACCCCTTATAGTGCAAATATTGAGGCTCAGTGGTTAGATATCTTATAGAGTATGGGTTATTATAGAGTATGGGATATATCAATGTGTTATATAAGAATTGTGTTTATTTTGCGTTGAATGCTCTGAAAGCGGGAATATATATTGGAGCCTGTGGGTTTGAATAAATGAGGAATTTTTTTTAATCGCCAAGTGTTTGGTGTAATTTGTGAAACCGCTCTGACTGTGCACATACTTCGATATAAAATGAGAAGAGAAGGATCACTCCTTTCAGAGTGCACCTGGAAGGAGCATGTAATTCTCACCCAGAGATAAGAGTACAGTGAAATTACTATGAGTGCTTTGGGCGGTCACTGGGTGTCTGACACATGCGGAAATCCATCACCATGCTACCATGCCCCATTGACTGACTTGCCCTTCCAAGTCCTGTTGATGAGCCAGTCTGCCTGTGCTGTCATCAGCAGTATCCTGGAGTACTGCAGACCTGCTTGGCTCTGGAACCGGATGACCAAGACTGCCACAGAGGGCTGGCTTGATTGCAACATTCTGTTGTTAAACATACACCTTGGAGCCAGTTCAGCTCCAAGGAAACCCTGCTTCGCTCCCATGAAAGGTGCTATATAAATGCATAACCATTAAAGTCTTACCTGGGTCAACAGAGCATCGTACATCTTGCAAGCTTCATTGCTTGTTGTGGAGAGTGGGAGACCCACATCCTGCCAGGCCTGGTAAACAATCAGAGCATTGCATCTGTGAGGCTGTCCTTCAACTCAACAAATGAAGAGGTAAATATCTACCAACAAAAGCCATAATTTTCTTATTTTAGTTCAAGGCAAAGTGTATAGAGGAGGGATTAAAAGGTAGTAATCTAAATCGAGGGCTTCACGTGAACTTATAAATATAAAGATGATATAAACTCCTGTCCTTTTTAAATTTTAGATGATACTGTGATTTTTCTCAGCGTCTCCCTCTCTGGGTACAACAAAAACTAACTGAAAAACTATGTTCCACTAGGCTGTGCCACTCCACTGACTTCTGCATGACTTCCGCAGAAAACCTGTTATATTTTATGCGCACACACATACACACATACGGAGGCGTGTGTTATTTAATTGTAATATACGTATGGTGTGTTATTCCAGTCTTCTGTAACATTAAATTTAATGTTTGCTTGATTAAATGTAAGATTATGGATTATTATGCATTAATTTACAATAGAACAACTGTGCCTGTACTGAACAGCAACAGCTCTGACAGCAGATCTACAAAGAATAATATATTTTCGACATATAATTTTAAAAGAATAACACTTCACTGGTCCAGAGTGCGGTCTCCTCCATACTATCTCTAAGTTCCCTCTCTGAAAATGTGCCTTACCTCACATTTTCACCCCCTCCTTGACTACCACGTGACAGCTTCTTCCTTTTCTAGCTGATGTTGCCAGTCCAGTGTCTTGCTGATCGGGGCAGTGGTAGACTGACTCACTGAAAGAGCTCAGCAATGTCACGTAATATGTGGACATCGATTTGTGGTGGGGTGGGACCACTTTGTCAGGGCGCTGATTCGTGGGGCATTCTGATAATAATACTTTGGTCGCTCAATCCACGACTGTTTGTGGGACACTGCTGTGCTGCCAAGTTTCACCCACAAAATATACAGTCAATTCACTTCACAGTATAATCCGTGAAGCGCTTTGAGACGTCTCGAAGGCGTGTTGAGGCGCGATATCAAATGCAAAGATTATTATTATTTATTATAATAATTATAATCCTGGCATTTGGGTACAGCGCCTTATCACATGATTGAGACATCTTAAAGCGCTTCACAGAATACACTGTAAAGTAAATTTCACTGTGTATTTTGTGGCCGAAAACGCGGAAGCCAATCGTGCACAGCAGCGTCCCACAAACAGCGACCAAATTATTTTTTATGTGTATATATATATATACAAATACGATAACAACGACCGAAGCCCATGAAAGGGCAGCCCTGCAGCGGCGCGGAAAGCGGTGCCCCCCCCCCACCCACGAATGCAAAACGATTATTTTAATAGTGGTTCGAGAAATGCAACTGTGAACCTGCCGAGTTTGTCTGACGCTTCGAGGAGTGCGAGAATTGAATTCACGCGGTTCGAACATTTTTCAAGTCAAAAAATAAAAGAAAACAAATTTTTTAAAAAAAGTCATCAACTTTTTCCCCTGCTGTGGGGTGGGGGGAGTGGGGGGGGGGGGGGGGGGAGACTTTTAACTGATTTACTGACGGGTTCCCTTCTCCCTCACTGAAAGCTTCCATATTGTCACTTGGATGGCGGGGTGGGGAGGGGGGGAAATGGGGGTGGGGAGGGGGAATGGGGGGGGAATGGTGGGGTGGGGAATGGGGGGGAGTGGGGAATGGTGGGGGGGGATGGTGGGGGAGGGGGGAATGGGGAATGATGGGGGTGGGTGTGTGGGGAATGTGGGGGGAGGGGGGAATGGTTGGGGGGGGATGGGGGGAGGGGGGAATGGTGGGGGGGAGGGGGGAATGGTGGGGGGGGGAATGGGGAATGATGGGGGAGATGGGGGCGTGGGGAATGGGGGGAGGGGGGAATGGTGGGGGGGGTGGGGGGAGGGGGGAATGGGGAATGATGGGGGGGGTGGGGGGGTGGGGATGGGGGGGGAGGGGGGAATGGGGGGGGAGGGGGAATGGGGGGAGGGGGAATGGGGGGAGGTGGGGGAATGGGGGGTGTTTTGCGCTCTGCGCTATTGGCCCTGTGGGGTTGGAGTGGACCGGTGGCACTGACCGCGCTCGGGGGGCTGAGGGCTGAGGGCTTACCTGGCAGTCTCTCAGGCCGGAGCACCTCATCTCTGACCGGGTTCCTGGTGACTCCTTCCCCTCTGAGCGCCCCTCCTCCCCCCCTCCTGTCGTTGCATAAGCCGACGGCAGTCCCCGTCGCTCCGGCCACTCCCCCACTGCTCCCATCGGCGGCGCTGGAGACTCGTCCGCTCCCCACACACGCAGCGGAAAGTGGGGTTGGGAACGAATGGGATCGTTCCCTCTTCCTCGGCCATTCATCACCACCCCCCACCCCCCCACCCCCCCACCCCGGACAGGTCCTGCAGTGACCCCCCACCACACCCCCCCCACCCCGGACAGGTCCTGCAGTGAACCCCCCCCCATACACCCCCCCACCCCGGACAGGTCCTGCAGTGACCCCCCACCACACCCCCCCACCCCGGACAGGTCCTGCAGTGACCCCCCACCACCCACCCCGCCACCCCGGAGAGGTCTTGCAGTGACCCCCCCCCCCCCACCCCGGACAGGTCCTGCAGTGACCCCCACCCCCCCCACCACACACCCCCCCCCCCCCACCCCGGACAGGTCCTGCAGTGATCCCCCCCACCCACCCCCCCACCCCGGAGAGGTCTTGCAGTGCCCCCCCCCCCCCCCACACACACACACACCTTCCCCCGGTCATTGGGCAAGAACTATTATGGAGTCCCGTAGCTCAGGGGTTGGAGCGCTCGCCTTCGCAAGCGAGAGGGTGTGGGTTGGATTCCCGGACCGGGCGAAACGTCGGGACAAGTTTCCTTACTCCACACGCCTCAGTTCAAGCGGGAACCCGGTTGTCAGTCGATTGGCGGATCGCTTTCCAGGGATAATAACGCTTTTTTAAAAAAAAAATTAATAATAATAATTTGGTCACTCGATCCACCGCTCTTTCTTTCGCCCACAATTAGGGGTCCTGTAGCTCAGTGGTTAGAGCGCTCGCCTCACAAGCAAGAGACCCGGGTTTGATTCCCGGCCGGGAGAAACCTTGGGCAAGTTTCCTTACTCCACACGCTTGATAATAATCCCTCAAGAAATAAAAACAATAATAAATTGGTCACTTCAATCCACAACTGTTTGCGGGACACTGCTGTGCGCAATTGGCTGCTGTATTTCACCCACAATATCTGCAGTCAATTCACTTTACAGTCTATTCTTTGAAGTGCATTGGGACATCAAGGGGGAGCATGTGGATGTTGAAGTGGAGGGGACCAAGGACAGAGCCCTGTGGAACGCCGCACGAGATGGTTCAGGGGTTAGAGGAGAAGCCATTTGAGGAGATGCAGTATAGGCGGTGTGAGAGGTACAATCTGAACCAATCAAGGACAGTGCCGTTGAGGTGAGAGGAGAGGCGGTGGATGAGACGTCTCGAAGACGTGAAAAGGCGCTGTAACAAATGCAAGGATTATTATTATTTTATTATTGTCAGGGTCGGTAATTGAAACCAGATCTTTCCTAATGTATAACACACTTCAGATTGTCAATACTGCACATCCAGTAACTCCCATCATAGGTCACAGAATAGGTTTGAATGAAGTAGGCCATTTGGCCCATTTGATTTTATCCTTCTAGAATATCCCATCACAGCATTAGCATGTTTTTACATGAATCCAATCTCCTGGCCTCAAGTACCCTTCCTGGCAACCTGCTAAACTCCATACTGTCCTGTCCGCTCCCTCCCCTCATCGAGCTCCATGCTCCCCTTCGTCCGTCTCAAGGCCCTTCTCTTCGACTGTGCCTTCAGTCACCCTCCTACCCCTACCCTCCACTCCTGATCCCAACCACCAGCTCGGGTGTGGATCCCTGACTGTCCAGCGCTTTGGGACATCCTTCTCACGTGAAAGGCGCTATACAAATGTAATTTATTGTTGGTGATGACCAGGGAACCTGCAGGCTCAATTGAATACACATTTCAATGGAGTCTCAATGTCTGTTAGAATGTTGCCTTCGTGTTTGCATGGCATTGTGTTGTCCATTTACCTCCCACGGGTAGCAGAAATTGTCTCACAAATTAAAGGGTGTGGTTGTTTTCTGAACATGGACTTGATTTGCATGAAAACTCATTATCTGTAGGAATGTATTTTTTTGAGTGTGGGAGTTCAAATGGACAAGGAGATAAAAACACTAGGTTATTGAGCAGACAGCAGAATTGTCCTTGTAGGGACTTGTAAAAGAAGTGTCAGCTCGTTTACCCTGCACAAACCGTAAGTGCCAGCATTTTATGTATTATGACTCCGACGTAATTTAAGGTTTTGGGCTATAGTCAAAATATATGCTTGTTTCTATTAAATATTTTCCATTTATTTTGAGAAGTGCGTATTTTAAATTTGTTAATATAAACAGTTTTGTCTCCGGACTCAAAATGTTCCGACTAATCACTGAAGCATTGGGTATAAAATACCAAGCTCTGCATCAGGGGGAACGCCGATTCATAGTGTGTGTGTAGGGTGTGAGGGTCATGGTGGGTGTGGGGGGATGCCGATTCGCTTTGTGGGGTGGGGCGCTGATTTGGAGGGGATGATGCCAATTCTTGGGGAGTGAGGCGAATTGTGGGGGGAGGGCTGTCGATTCAGCGCCTTGGGACGTCCTCCCGACGTGAAAGGTGCTCAATAAATGGAATCTTGTTGTTGTTGTTGTTGTTCGTGGCGAGTAGGTGATTCGTGGGGGTGTCAATTTGTAGTGGAGGAAGACACTGATTCCTGGGGGTGGGGGGGGCAAGTCCTCGGCGGTATGCCAATTTTGTGGATGGGGGGCACTACTGATTACTAGGGTGGGTGATTACTGGGGGAGTGGTGCCAATTTGTGTATTGGGTGGGGGAAGCATAAAACATCCATGCATAAGTGGAACTTCTGACCAAGACTGCTCAGGGGGTAAGTATTGGGAGCCAAATATGGGGGAGCTCGTGAACCATTCACGGGGTACTTGGGAATTTCCTGATTTCTCATACAGCCAATCCACCCCTGATCGAGCCCTTTCTGTCAACAGAGTAGCCTCCTGGAGCGCTTGACAGTGATGGAGTCTGACATCAAGCCAGGGGGAGAGGGCTGGAGGAGGTCACCATAAGCACAATCAAAAAGGAAGATCTTTCAGCAGGTTTTGAAAGTAGGGAGGGAGAAAAATGGAGGGATTGAGGAGAGAGTTCCAGATTTTCAGGGCATAGTGGCCAAATAGTGGAGCAGATAGCACGAGGGGACATGCAGGAGGCCGGAACCAGCCGGGCAGAGGCAACGGGTGGTTGAGTGGGGGAATAAGCAAATTGGATAGGTAGGGAGGTGTGAGAGTATTTTACAACGAGTGAGAGGAGCTTGAAATCGATCCAATCGGTAATTGGAAGCCAGTGGAGCCTGGCAAAGACTGGTGTGATTTCATACAAATGTAATTTGTTGCTGTTGTCTGTATCTAATGGGATAGCAATGATGCACATCTATTGGCACATGGGACTAATTTCTGTGTGTTCTTTAATTGAGTAATTGTGAACCTGATTCGGGGTTGGAAGCAGATCACTTACTGTACAACAACAACAAGATTACATTTGTATAGAGCCTTTCACGTACCAAGGCGCTGGACTGTAGAAATGATACAAAACTTTGAAATCATTTCACTGTCTTATTTTGGTTTTTAACACCCCCCCCTTCCCCCTTTTTTTATTTAAGGAACATCATGGTAGGTGGTTCAGAAAGAGCAAAAAGGAAAGACAAGTCTGAAGAGCAGGAGGTGTATCTGAGGAAGAAAATTACTTTGGTCCGAGCCATTTCACTGCAAATTGGAACAATAATAGGCGGTGGGCTATTCATCTCTCCAAAAGGTGTTCTAATAAATTCTGGGAATATTGGGACATCGCTCATCATCTGGGTGGCCAGTGGAATACTTTCCATGTGTGGTGAGTGCATCATTTATCTCAATTGATATTTTTGATCAAAATTAATGTTATCGTGGAGTCCTGGAACGTAGTGGTTAGATCCCTTGCCTCGCAAGTAAGAGGAACCCTTGTTCAATTCCCGGGTGGGGTGAAAACTAAGGCAAGTTTCCTTACTCCACGTGCCTCTGTTTACCTAGCGGTAAGTAGGAACCCGATATGGCAGATCGCTTTTCTGGGGATAATAATCCCTTCAAAAATAATAATGATAATAATGATTTGCTCACGCAAACCATGCCCACAAATATACAGTCAATTCACTTTACAGTATATTCTGTGAAGCGCTTTGAGATGGCTAGAAGACGTGAAAATAATATCAAATGCAAGGGTTATTATTATTAATGAGAGCTATGTTTCTATTCAATTAGAATATTCTATTCTATTTCAATCGCGATGTAAGTAGCAAGGATGCAGATTATCTGTGTGTGAGCTGGAGAGGGGGGGAGTGAGGCAATGGTTTGATGCTGGCTCAATTCAATATGTAAGGGAACAACAACAAAATTAAATTTGTAAAACGCCTTTCACGTCGGGAGGACGTCCCAAGGTGCTGAGGTAGCCGCTTAATAAGCAGTTATAAACGTTTCTGTTACTCTGTTGTTTCTCAGAGGCTTGTTGTAACTTTGTTGATATTTATTGCAACTTTGTGTTAGTGACCAGTACAACTTTGTGTCCCTGATTGTGTTAACTAATGCCCACTGTGACCGAATGTGTTTTTAGGGAGAGAATTTGCAACCTTTCATGTTACGAAGGTTCCCAGTAAAATTGACAAGGCAGAGATGGCTTTAGAAACACACTCTTTGTGCCAGTAATTGCATACCGGTGGACGTGGCATCAAAAGATTGCATCCAGTGCAGGGAAATGTTGGGTTTTGCATTCTGCTTGAATGCAAATGCTTGAATGCAAAAAAAAATGGCCCTCGTCCAGGAGTTGATGTTGGACAGGCAGTCGGTCAGGACACCAGTAGTCCTGGAGTTCAGGGTGGAGGCAGAGAGGTAGAGTTGGGTGTCATTCGCATACACGTGGAAATTTACCCCATGTCTGCGGATGACGTCACCAAGGGGGAGCATGTAGAGGGTGAAGAGGAGGGGACCGAGGACAGAGCCCTGAGAAACACTGCATGAGACAGTGCGGGGGCTGGAGGAGAAGCCGTTTGCCGGGACGAAGTGAAGGCGGTGTGAAAGGTAGGATCTGAACCAGTCAAGGACAGAACCTTGAAGGTTGAGGAGGGAGGAGAGGCGGTGGAGGAGGATTGAGTGGTCCACGGTGTCAAAGGCGGCGGAGAGGTCGAGGAGGATGAGGAGGCAGAGGGAGCCCTGGTTGCACATGGTCAGGATGTCGTTTGTGATCTTGACCAGAGCAGTTTCCGTGCTGTGGGCAGCGCAGAAACCTGATTGGAGGGGCTCATGGAGGGAGTGAGAGGAGAGGAAAGAGTGAAGCTGGGAGGCAATGGCTCTCTCAAGGAGCTTGGATAGGAAAGGGAGATTTGAGATGGGTCGGTAGCTAGATATATGTGATGGGTCGAGGGAAGGTTTTTTTCAAGGTGGTGGTGATAGTGGCTGTTTTGAGGGGGGAAGGAACAGTGCCAGATGACATGGAGAGGTTAATGATGTCAGCGAGTAGTGGGGCAAGGAGGTGGAGCTGGGATTTAAGGAGATGGGTGGGGATGGGGTCGAGGGAGCAGATGGTGGACTTAATGGAAGTTACCGTGTTGAAGACAGAAGTGGGGGTGACAGGTTCAAAGGCGTGGAAGGAGGGATGGGTAATTGTCAGATGGGTAATTGTGTGGGGTGGGGTAGGGAGCGGTTGGAAGTTCGGGAGGGCAGTGGCAGCTGAGCGGATTCCCTTGATTTTGGACTTGAGGAAGTCCAACATTTTCTTGCAGTGAGAATCGGAGGAAAGTATCTGCGAGGCATGTCGGGGAGGGCAGAGGAGCCGGTTAGAACAGTAATTATGACATTCAAAATATACTAAGAATTGAATTTCTTGTACATTTTACAACATGCATTTTTGAAAAAGGTGTCTAACATATTTGAATAGATTTCCATTGAAAGTAACACATTTAAATATTTCCATTTCCATATGCCAACACATTATATTTGATATGTAAAATTAGCAATCCATGAAACTCAACAATGGATAGTTTGCACAGAGAGAGAGAGAGTTCTCTAGTTATGGTTGAATTCTGGCTTACCTTAATTGGTGAAAGACGTTTAGAAAAGAACTTGCTTGTTATTGCACTTTATTATATTCAAACAGCTCACTGTACTTCATAGCTAATCACTGCCAAGTGTAATGACTATAGACAAATGCAATGCTTTTTTTAAAGCAGTGTTCTCTTTTAGTTTGGATTGCAAAAAGTAGGGAGGTTACAGATTCAAATGGAGCCCTCTGCTGAGTTAGCTTATTTTGTTCAGTTGAACTGTTGCAATAGGCCTTAACACACCTGAGTTAGGGAGGAAAAAGACAGCTAGTGTCACTGCTTTTCAAAGATACCTGCTGGAAAGTGTGCATGTGTAGTCAGCTGATAAGATCAGGGGGATATGGTTTGATTGTGATGCCCCATAGGGAACTTTGGTGAGACACTTCTTACACAAAGGACAATTTCACAACTTGCATTGAAATGGCTCTTTTCAACTTGCTTTTCAAGTCTCAAAGTGCTTTATAGAGATAATGGCAGACACTGGGATGAAGCGCAAGGGATGAAGGATGGGAAAAGAAAGGTGACTACAGGCACAGTTGAAGAGGTAGGTTTTTAGGCAGCTGTTAAAGAGATGAGTGGGACTGAGGAGTTGAGAGACTTCTATGGGAGAGGTTCCAGTGGCTGAAGGTTCAGTGTCATGGAGCTTGGTATTTTATACTAAATGCTTCAGTGATTAGAGTTGGGGGCTTCTCGGGTCGGGAGGACAAAATCAGTATCCTATTTATATTAACAAATTTAAAATACTCATTTCTCAAAATAACTTTAAAATATTTAATGGACACAAACATATATTTTGAAGACATCCGAAAGCCTTAAATTAAGTTGGAATCGTAATACATAAAATGCTGGCATTTATGGTTTGAGCAGAGGAGCAAGCTGATCCTCTTGTTTGTTACAAGTCCCTCCAAAGTACAACTTCCCTGCCTGTTCAAACATGTAGTGTTTTATCCCCTTGTGAGTGTACTCTCACACTCACACAATACACATTCATATAGACAATACATTTTCATGTAAATTAGTCCTCCTTCAGACAACAACATCCTTTAACAGTTCCTGCTACCTGTGGGGTGTAAATGACCGCAACAGTACCATGCAAACACAAGGGTAGCGTCCCAACAGTCTCCATTCAAACGAGTATGTAGGTTCCCTGGTCATGACGTCACTACCGCCACATCAGTGCTGATGGTGGTGGCAGACAGGGTGAGGAACCAAGAATTTCCCAAGTTCACCAAAGCGGAAGGGGTGAACAAGAGAGTGAGGCTGCAGAAGATCACACACAGATTGAGGGAATGGCTATAGAATTTGGAGCGAGTTACCGGCGAATAAAATAAACAGAAAAACTCTACAAAATGTTACAAAATATTTCACTTCATTCAATTGACATTATGACCATTAAATAATTTTTAACTGTACATTTTTGGGCCTCCAGGAACTCTATCTTATGCAGAACTTGGAACAAGCATTAAGAAATCCGGTGGTCATTACACCTACCTTCTGGAGACACTTGGTCCCTTACCAGCCTTTCTAGAGTTATGGTCTGAGATCATTATTATCAGGTAACATATACGTTGTATCTCACATATTCTGCTAATATAACTCAAGAATATGGAGCCTTTCCATTCGTCTGCTCTACACAACACATCAGTAAGGTTAGTACACAGTTGCTGCCCACCCAGTTCACAAGACTAAAGAGATGAGATGAAGAATTGAGATGAAGAAGGCCCTTCGGTCAATCTGATCCAATCCTTCCAGAACATTTAGCCTACCGTCCTCCCATCGCACCACTAAGCTGTTGTTTAAACAAGTCCAGTGTCCTCATCTCAACGTCCCTTCCTGGCAACCTATTCCAGCCTTTGATAAAGAAACCTTAGGCAAGTTTCCTTACTCCCCAATTGTTAGTCGATTGTTAGATTGCTTTCCTGGGCTAGCAATGCCTTTTAAAAAAATAATAATAAGAAGAATTTGGTCACTCATCCATAGCTATTTGCGAACACTGCTCTGTGCAATTGGCTACCGTGTTTTGCCCACAAAATATACAGTCAATTCACTTTACAGTATATTCTGTGAAGTGGTTAAGATGTTCCGATGACATGATAAGGCGCTATATGAAATACAACGATTATTTTTATTATTATTATAAGTAAAACTTCTTGGTATCTGTCCTAAAATTGCCCTTTGCAATTCTAAACCTATGTTCTCTTGTTCTACTGTCTTGATGCTTACTAAAGTATTGTTCTATGTTTACTTCTTCAATCCCAATGAAAATTGAAAATCATCAACTAAAGTGTAATAGCACACAGTTCCACAAACTTTATTGTTTAAACTCGTAATGGAAATATAGGTCTGTCCATTTGTCCTGGAGTTTGTTCAAACCTTAATTTTTTTTTGCAGTGTGGTACATTTTACAATTATTCTTCTCTGATAAGTTTAAATAAATTCATGTATCTTTGACACATCAGCTAAGCTCCAAACAGACCTCACATCTACACTTCCATCACAGATCACTGGATATTGATCAGGACTTGTAAGTCTCATCTTTCCCTGAACTAAAGTGAAAAGCTGAGGCCTATGTCCTAATATCAGCAAACTCAGCATAGAATGTGGATTAAACCTCCCAGTTTATATGGGTCAGCTATTCACTGATTACACCCATTGTTTTACAGATGATAGTTGTAGCTTATGCTGTGGCAAGGTGATGCTTTCATTACAGTGGGGTGAAATATGTAGCAATTCCAAACAGGAATCTCAGTAGGGAATCCTTATGCAATTGGAATTAGTCCTTAGGGACATCCACTCTAAAAGCAGTTTCTGACAGTCTGTTTGATGTACTTTGGATTTTCTTAATTAAAAAATCTTTAAAATTGCTGACTTTAGACACCCACACTATTACTTCTTCCTACAACAACAACAAGATTACATTTGTATAGCGCCTTTCACTTTGGGAGGACGTCCCAAGGCGCTGGACAGAGTACAGCATTTCAGACCTGAGCTGGGGTTGGGGGGTTAAGAGAGGGGAGGGAAAGGGGGTGGCTGATGGCATGGTTGAAGAGGAGGGTCTTGAGGCGGGACTTGGAGGTGGTTAAGGAGGGGGCGAGGCGGAGTGACTGGGGGTTGGAATTCCAGAGGTTGGGGGCAGAGTGGCTGAAGGCTCTCCCGCCAATGATGGGGCAGGTGGGTCAGGGAACGTGGAACAGGCCAGAGATGGCTGAGTGGATGGAATGGGCGGGTTGGTAGGAGGCTAGGAGGTTGAGGAGGACAAGGTATTGGCATTTCGACGATACATCTTTGAGTCCTTCTTTGCCCCTTGTGAAGCTCCAGTCTTGGCAATAAAACTCGTGACTGCAGTTGGACTTTGTAAGTACCACAGTTATGTCACAGTTTGCTACAGGAACTGATCTTACAATCAAAGGAACAAACTTTTGAGTTGGGAGGTTTGGGTTAATTGTTAACCCCCATGAGCATATGCTCAGCAATGCAAATAGGCAGAAGATTGCAACCGATAGGAATTCTGCCTGTAGGAACTGCTGCTAGTTTCTAAGAGGGAAAGGGGGGGGGGGTCTCTGCAGACCAGTTCCCTCAGAACAAGTTGTAACCTCTTTTCCATTCAGATGGAATGTTAATCAAAGATGATCCTATTAGCTAAGTAGCACCACACGAGATGATACCCTCGTCCAACTCAAGATACACTCACACGTGTACATACACTGCAAGATCACAAGACACAGATGAACACACACAAACTGTCAGCAAAATATATCACAAGATAATATTTATTCTCAGAGCTTCTATTTCTACCTTTTCATCACTCAATACATACAGATACTTAATCTATTTAGTTAGTGGCTGTTTCTTAATAAATCTATTGGTATCTCATTGTGATTTTCTTGTTTTGAACAGGCCAGCAAACAGTGCAGTTATTTCCTTGGCATTTGGACGATACATCATCGAGCCCTTCTTTGCCCCTTGTGAAGCTCCAGTCTTGGCAATAAAACTTGTGACTGCTGTTGGAGTTTGTAAGTACCACAGTTATGTCACAGTTTGCTACAGAAACTGGTCTTACAGTCAAAGGAACAAACTTTGAGTTGGGAAGCTTGGGTTAATTGTTAACCCCCATGAGCATATGCTCAGCAACGCAAATAGGCAGAAGATTACAACCGATAAGAATTCTGCCTGTAGGAACGGCTGCTAGTTTCTAAGGGAGAAAGGGGGGGTCTCTGCAGACCAGTTCTCTCAGGACAAGTTGTAACCTCTTTTCCATTCAGATGGAAGATACACAGACAGTCATTTTGTCTTTATCTATACTCAGCTGGGAGGACTCCTGTTGGGAGCACTCCTTTAATATACGTTCTCCCAGTCTCTCTCTGTCTTTCTCTCAGGCTCTCTGTCTCTCTCTATGTCTCTCTCTCAGTCTCTATCTCCGTCCCTTTCAGTCTCTCTTAGTCTATCTCTCTCAGTGACTCAGTGTCTCTCTCACTCTCTCTCAGTCTCTCTTTCTCAGTCTCTCTCCTGCTCTGCCTCTCTCTCGGCCTCTCTCTCTCAAACTCTCTTTCCCAGTCTCTTTCTCTCTCAGTCTCTCTCTCTCTCTCTCTCTCTCTCTCAGTCTGTCTCTCTCTATCTTTCTCCGTCTCTCCCACAAATCACACAGTCACTACAGTTTATAGTATATTCTCTCCCACAGACTCTCAATTTCAGCCGCTCTCACTATCTCAGTCTCTCTCTCTCTGTCTGTCCCCCATGTCATACCTCCCATGACAACCAGAAACAAATGCCATACATTTGTTGCAGAATATAGATGTATCTCTCTGAATGGTGTGTACCTTCCTCTGTCGCTCCGTAGTTGCAGATTACGATGCATACCTCATATTATGAGGTTTAATTAAAGCATATTTTAATACAGCTCATCAATGATAGGCGATGCCCCCCTACTCCCATCACATAAAAAATATGCCTATAACACTGTCGATGAGGTATAAATCATATCTCTATGTCAATCGGTTATTGCGTGAATGTGGGATACACAGAGAGACAGACAGACAGATAGTCTTTATTAGTACAGATAGATATCTCTGTAAGATTACCTCTGAGATATCTCTCCTCAAGGTTGAAGATCTGCAGCTTATCTGATTGATCATTGTCTCCAATACAGGGGATTAACCTTTTTGCTTTCTGCACTGCCTTTTGAGTTTGGGAGCTCAGCTCTGTTATGAAGAAAAGAAGAGATGTCTGAATCCTGCAATTAATAATACAACCAAATATCTACATGAGCTTCAAAAAATGCTGCTGACAGAGAATTTAACTATTAAAAGTAATTTCGATCCAAGACCGTATGATCTTTAAATTGGATATTTAGAGCTCACACATGTTGTAATAGTTGGTCTGGTTCTGTTCTTTCTGTTACACGGTCTTGAGAAAGTCTTTGCATTTGTCTTTCTTTCCAGCTCTGGTAGTGTTCTTAAACTGCTGGAGCGTGAGTTGGACTTTCCGGACTCAGACCATCCTCATGTACGCTAAGCTGGTAACGATTGGACTGATCATCATTCCAGGAATGATAGCTTTGGCCCAAGGTATGATTTTACCATCAGCATGCTCACAGAGACAGACTCAAAGCATTGGGAAAGTTGGTATACAAACAGCTATATTATGTTGGATCACACAGAGATGAAACTGGTGCTGAGATAAAATCTGCCCAAGCCTTGCATATGCAACCAAGCTGAGCTTTTGGCTTTCTCTATTAACCCTGAGCTAAGGATGCAAACAGCACTTTGGGTCAAATGGGGGTTGAAGAGTAACAAATGGAATCTGATTCAAATAGAGTTGAACCACTGCTTCAAATATAACTCCTTAATGTTTTACATGGGCTGAAAAGACAAAGTCTTCACAGTGTGACAAGTAAGATATTGCACATGTTTGGCTTGAGCTGAATGTCCCAGGTACTTTTCTCACCAGCAAAATAGTAGGCTGCACAAGAGAATTAACCGTCTTACCACAGGAAACATTCAGAAATTCGTTGAAATTCAGGCAGCATGCATTAAAATTTGCAATATTTCATGTGCTAAATGTGATGACCACCTTAGTTCTAACTGGTTAAGCACTCATTTTTACAACAATTATCTTCCCTTGTCTTGGATCCCTCTACCAGAGAGGTTTATCATTTTCGCACATTATTCTAAACACTTCAGTCAGATCATCTTTTAACCTCTTTTGTTTGTACATTACTAGCATTATTGCAGCAATTTCCCCTTTCCTGTGAAGTAGAGCTATCAATAAACACACTGGGGTTTATCAGATGCTGATCACTGAAAGCAATCTTATCCCTTTCTAATGATGTAACGAAAAGATGACCATTTTTTGAAGTAATAAAACCTTTCATTGTCATTGATAAAATCTTTCTCATCTAATAGATATTTTCATATAGTTCTCAGGTCAGCATATAATGCTATCTGATTTATGGTCTATCAACATAATCATGGAGATTAGGCGTTTCATTTTCACCATTATATTGCAAAGGAATGTGGACTGATGTGTTTTACAAGACAATAAACACAACAAATAAAGCAGTTCAGATGACATACAAAATCATGGTTCATGTTCAAGTGATTTATCAATATCATCTCAACCTTGAAATGTTCCATATGCATGAAACGCACTTCATTCAGCCTGTGATAGAGACATAAGATACACAAATAAATTACCTAATTATTTTTGCTACTTTTGCACCCTGGCATATAATGTGCACTTTTACATTTTTGATTTCTCTCCTGAAGTTTTTGACACTTTAATGGAGTATGGTTCCATGAACTCCAGCAACCTTCTGGGACCTCGTCCAATGTATGCAAAGGCCAACTAAAATATCTAAATTCATGCTGCAGTGGAGATCAGCAAGCTCAGCAAAAACAAGGTCCAACCCAGGGCTTTCTGGCCTCTCTGGCCCAGTGCAATACCTTTATCCACTAAGCATTCAGGAAGACTATAAAGAAGTCTTCATATAACCTTCACTTCTCCTTATCTCTGAAAATGTTTATATCTAATGTGCCTTTGACCCACTTTCTAATTTACCTTATTCTATATTATATTAAAAAAAATATTATATTATAAAATATTCTTTTTTTATTCTTAATCTATGTTAATTGCGAATTGCTTTAAGAACTGTTATTGTATATTTTACACATAACATGGTCTTGCATAACCCACCCACACTGGAGTCTTGTATGAATTTACAAGGACAGAAAGTACCTAAACAATTAAATCTATTAATAGTGGTCATCACTGTGGCATTCTACATGTACTCATTAACTTTCTAAGTTAACTTTCTAGTTGTGTAAACTGAATCTCAATTTACATAATTCAGATTTCCCCTGGTTCAATACTCTTAACTTGAAACATGCTTCATCAGATTTTATTTACAATTACATTTAATGGATTTTATTTCTCATTGTGCTTCTATAGGCAAGTTTTTTGTTGAATCGTTTATTGATCTTAGTTAGAAACTTTGTGAAGCCTGCATTAAACTGAACTCAGCTACTTGTTTTTACAAAGGTCACTCTGACAACTTCCAGAATGCTTTTGATAGCAGTTCTATTACATTGGACAGGATCCCACTAGCTTTCTACTCTGGCATGTATGCTTACAGTGGCTGGTATGTAAGAAGTTCAATGAGTGTGTATGTGTGTGCTGGTGCATGGCGGGGGTGCGGGGGGTGGGGGGGGGGGGGGTGGTGGGGGTTGATAAAGAGACAGAGAGAAATATGGTGGTCATCGCTTCTTTAGTTTTGGGCCTGAGATGGGCTGGTAGAGGAAGTGAGAAGACCAAGGGTGAATGGTGAAGAGAGCAAAGGTAGCTATTTCAAGAAAATGAGTTGAGGCATAAAGAGAGCAGTATGTGAAGAGAATGAGAAGATATGTCAAGAGGGTGAGGGTGGGCATATAAAGATCGCAGAGCAGATACTGTATATGAAGACAGAACAGATATATGTGGAGAGTGAGGCAGAGAGAATGAATCAAGACACATTAAGAGAACAACACACAAAATACTACAGATGCTGGAAATCTGAAACAAAACAGAAGTTGCTGAGAACACTCAGCAGGTCAGGCAGCATCTATGGAGAAAGGAAAGTGAGTCAACGTTTTGGATCCAGACACTTCGTTGGGTCGACTTCTGCTTTTGTTTCACGTTAAGAGACTATGGATTGATGTGGAGAGATGAAAGTTTGAAATGAGCAGAGTGAACAAGTATGTGAAGAGGACAAGGGACTATGAATAGTGTGTGTGAATGTGTTGCTAATACATTGTTCATGAGGTGCTGCCTGTATTTAAATATTTGTTGATAATTCTATCACTTTTTTTAGGTTTTATATCACCTTTGTCACAGAAGAGGTGGTTAATCCAGAAAGGTGTGTTTTCCAGTTCTGTCTCAGTTTACCGATAAACAGGAACTTTAATCATTTAGACGTTTTCCAATGAGATCTGTTAAGCAATAGTGAGCAATGGGAGAAATTGTAAACAGGAGCAACAGAGCACCATCATAAAGAAAAACTCCGGACTAGTTATCAGTGTTGCAGGGGCACTGCCTTTCTCTTTGCAGAAGTAGACCAGTAAGCACATTTGATATGATTCCCATGTGATAAGATTATCAAGTGTGGCTGTCCTTCCTACATGGTTCCAGGTTTTGTATGTTGGTAATTGTCAACCTTGATCACACTGATTTTTCACATGGCACAACTGTAGAATGATAGAAATTCGCAGCACAGAAGAAAGTCATTCAGCCAATCTTGTCTGCATGATACTTTTTAGATATTCCAACAATTCCATGTTAAATTGATGCCTTCTAATTACTGACTCGCTGATAAAATATGTGCCTTTTTTTTCCTTTTCTCCTTGCTCTGTACAGGCTGGGTACATGATAACTCACTTAACTGAACATCCCAGTTATCAGGGCAGCTCACTATTCAGGTCATATTTGCACAGACTGTTTTCTTCATATGAAACCAACAATGATCAAATTCCCCAACTCCCAAATGAGGGCAAAATAAACCAGTCTATTGACAGCCCTTAACAGTACAGTTGAACTGTAGATATCTTAGGATCCTGATTTAACATGATGTCTCCTCAGTTTCATTCCTTCTTCCCTTCCTGAAGTGTTCAGAACACACTGGCAAAGGGTGACAGGACCTGCTCCCAAGCTCCCTGTGGCCCCAGCTGCTAAGACCTGTGTGAAAGCAGCTTGTACTGCCTTTACACAGTGCATTCCCCTTTGCCCTCCTTAGAGGCTCCTCACTACGACTCAGCCTTTTCCCCCCCACTGGGGCAGGTGAGATTTATTTTTACCCCCCTCCCAATCCTCTGCCCAGTCGTTCATTTATTTCAATGGGTTTTAAGCAGAGTTTATGGGAAACGAGAACAATTCAAGTTATGTTTAAATTCAAATATTTTCCTCTTTACCATAGGAATATTCCTCTGGCAGCAATTTTTTCTCTGACACTTGTTACTGTGCTCTACCTGTTCACCAACATGGCTTATTACACAGTATTGACAGCTGACGAGGTGTTGGCATCTCCGGCAGTTGCTATGGTAAGTAACTAAGATTGAACACTGTCACTAAGATTCTATCTATCCCTACATAATTTACAGTGTGGATTTTGAACACATAAAAGTCATTATTGTGCAAATTAACAATTTTCTTCTTTGCAGCTTGTGCCAGTACCATGTCCTCCCAGGTTAGATACAAAGTACCAGAAGGGGTTATACACAATGATGAATATTAAGCTACACAGGGTGGTCCAAACTTTTGGCTGCCGTGGGTCGAATTCCCTATTTGAGAAAGGGCCGTACAAGCATTATTTCCCTTACAGAAACATAGCCACATTTACATAGCGCCCTTTTCATGTTGGAAGGACATCTCAGAGCTCTCGACACTGCCAGTCTGGAATCTGAGCTGGGGGTGGTAGCCGAGACAGGTGAGATGGGAAGGGGAAAAGATGACCGAAAGAGTGGTCAAAGAGTTATGTCTTGATGTGCTTTGAAAGAAAGTAGGGAGCGAGTCAGAGGGACTCAAGGAATGGAACACCAGAGAGTGGGGGCGAAATGGTGATGGTGGAGCAGATGGAATGGGGGGCATGAAACAAGCTGGTGTTTGCTGGGCAAAGGGAACAGCCAGGTCAGGATGTCGCAGAGGTATGAGGGCACCGGGGGAGGGGGAATGAAGGATGTAGAGGACTTTCTCACTGGGGAAAGAGGGAGTTTTCTGTGAGGAAACTGCGTGGCATGTCACTCGGTGTCTGTACTCAGTCCCCGCCCTGTGGTGGCCGAGGGAGACTTCGATCATCTGTCCCGACAGTGAATCACGAAACGCTGCCCTCACTTCTCTTTGTCGCTGTTCTCTCACCCTTTTTATTTCTCTCTCTCCCCCTCCTCTCCCTCGTGTTTTCTCTCTCTCAATCATTCTCCCTTCTCTCTTACGACCTCTCTCACACACACTGTCTCTCCCCTCTCTCACACATTCTCTTTCTCACACTGTCTCCCGTCTCACACACTCTCAATCACTCTCTCGCTCTGCTCTCTCCCTCACTCTCTCTGTTTCTTTCTCTCCCCCTCTCACTCTCTATTAATCACTTTCTCTCCCTTTCTGTCAATCACCCTCTCTTAATCTCCCCCTCTCTCTGCTCTCTCAATCACTCTCTCTCACCCAACTCTCTGTCTCTCCCATCTCACACTCTCAATCTCTCTCTCTCTGTTCTCTCCCTTTCAATCACTCTATCTCTCCATCATTCTTTCTCTTCCCCCTCTGTCACAGTCTCTCTCTGATCTCATTCAATCACTCGCTCCCCCTCTTAATCCCCCAATCACCCCTCTCTCCCATTCAGCCTCCCCCATTACCCCCTCTCCATCCCTCCTCTCCCTCCCCATCCCACCTCTCCATCACCCCATCTCCCCACTCTCTCCCCATCTGCCCTCTTTCAATCCCTCTTCCCTGTCCCCCACTCGCAATCTTCCTCTCCCCCTCTCTGCCCCCCTCCCTCTCCCCCTCTCTGTCTCATCCCCCTTCCATCCCTCTCTGTCCCCCTCTCCTTGTCTCTCTGTCCTCTGGAGCCGGTGCAGTTTCTATGGACGCAGTGGATAAGGAGACACGCTTGCTTTCTGCTCAGCTCCAGTGCACACTGCAGTAGTGGCTGGTATTATTTCCACTCTGCGCACTGCATCCTCCCATCCGCCGGCTCCTGCTGCTGCCCTGGGAGGACGTTCACCAGGGAGGGAGGGAGCGGACCGTTGGAATGGTCTCGGGCCGGATAAAATCACTCGTCGGATCACATGCTGCCTGTTGGACCACCCTAAGCTACACCAAAGCTTCAAGTGGAATTTTTTTCACACTTAGCAGCTTGTTCAATCAATCATAAGGGAGCTGAATAGATGCCTGTTTAGGGAGGGAGGATGGATGAGGGCAAGATGGTGTTTGAAATGTCTGACTAACAGCACTAATCGCATAAATCCAGGCAGATTTTTCTTGTACCCGACCTAATATTCTTAAACGCAGCTGTTTACTCAGCATGGGGTTATCTAGCTGTAACCATGCCATCCACTCCCGACCATCCTGCCTGTGGGTACAGCTGTTGAGTTCCTTTGGAAAGAACCTCTTTGTTTCTCAGTACTGTCGTAACCTCGTGTTTCTTTTTGTTATGAGACTTTTGGATCTCACGTCCTAAAGGAGTTCTCCTCAGTGATTTCAATCCTCGTGGCCCTGGCATGTGTTGGGACGCTAAACGGTGGGATGTTTGCTAGTACCAGGTAATACAGTCGTCACACAGAGGATACATTTCATGATCCTAGTGCTCACCTTCAAAGCCCTCCATAGTCTTGCTCCCCCTTACGTTTACAACCTCCTAACCCCCTCCGATCCTGCTCGCTTCCTTCGCTCAGTGGGTACCGGCCTGCTTCACGTCCCCCGCTTCACTCGCCCCACTATTGGCGGGTGGGCTTTCTGACACTTTGCCCACACCCTCTGGAACTCCATCCCACAGTCCCTCCGCCTTGCCCCCTCCCTTGCCTCCTTCAAAACCCATCTCAAAATCCTCCTCTTTGACCGTAGTTTCGATCTTCCTGCTTCACCCCCTGCCTTCTACCTGCCCCTATCCCGACCCCCAGCTTGGGTCTGAAACTCTGTCTGTCCAGCCTCTTGGGACGTCCTCCCGAAATGAAAGGCGCTATACAAACGTAATTTTGTTGTTGTTGTTGTTTTTATCATCAGAAGGGGAGCTGGTTAGTAAGAGATGGAGCAACCAAGATACCTTGCCTTAGGATCAGAAGGGTCTGGGCTCAATTCCCAAAGAGCCCACTCAACATCTAAATTTTTAAGGATGATCAAATTAATACATTTCTAAAGATATCCTGGTAACAAACCAGGTGGAGTAAAGAAATAATATCTCCCTTGGGTTGAATGGACTCCTAATGGAGCCAGGAAGACATATTTCAAGCTTTTGTTGATAGCTGAGCAATCTGTGATCATGTGGCTTAGAGGAGAGCACATGTCCTAAACCCTACTAGCCAAAGGCCCAACAGGTAGGGCAACCCTGGCTGCAGAAGCCATCTGAAATGTGCCACTACTTTGATCTGGTAAACTGTGCAGCTATTAAAGATAGCCATTAAAATGCTACCCTTACACCTGCCCTACCAAAGGCTCCATCCAGTCTCACAAAACAAACCACTTTCACTAGTTGCTCAACCTCATTGCGTCCTGACTTTCAGCATTTCCCAGTCTGTTGAACTTTAAGACGTCCTCTCGACATGAAAGGTGCTAGCTGTATTTTATTTTCGCTCATTCTTCATGCCATGTGTAATCTTACACAGGCTCTAATTTGTGATTTTCACAAGCTGAGTTAGAAATGCTGACTGCGACATCTGTTTGCAAGTACTGTACTAAGAATGGTTCAACTTGTGATACAGTATTCGCTAAATGATTTCTTGTGAATCCCATAAGCCAGAAAAGTGTAAAAGGAGAGCGGGAAACATACCACCATCAGAGGAAAGATTAGAACTAGTGGCTCTCTGACAAGTTAATACAGTGGCCTATCGCACCATTGAGACGTCTCAAAGTGCTTTGCAGAATACACTGGAAAATGAATTGACTGTATATTTTGTGGGCGAAACGCAGCAGCCAATTTACAAACTGAGAAAATGACACGATGGGCCGAATGACCATCTTCTGTGCTGTAAATTTCTATATCATCCAAATTAAAAGTGACTCTGACTAAGCCATGTCATCTTTTATTTGGCATTCGCTGAGTAACAATTGCTATTTTATGTCTTGCAAAAGGGTGTTGTTTGTGGCTTCCAGAGAAAACCAGTGGCCAGTCCTCTTCTCCATGATCCACGTCCGAAACCATGTTCCTCTTCCAGCTGTGCTTTTACTGGTGAGTAGATCACAGGTTTCGTCAAGATTAATAATAATCTTGCATTTGATATAGCGCCTTATTACAACGATGAGATGTCTCAAAGCGCTTCACAGAATATGTTAGAAAGTGGATTGACTGTGTATATTCTGAGCAAAATGTGGCAGCTAATTGCACACAGCAGTCTACAAACAATCGTGGATTGAGAGACCCTTTTTTTTGAAGGATTATTATCCCCAATCCGTCAATCGACTAACAATCGAATTCCTACTTACCTCTATAATAATAATAATCCTTGCATTTTGATATAGCGCTTTTCACGTCTTCTCGACTTCTCAAAGCACTTCACAGAATATGCTGTAAAATGAATTGACTGTGCAAATGCGCTGCATTTGTACAGATACTTGTCGCACAAACACTAGTTTCTTCTTGATATTTCAAATGGTGCTAGTTACGTGATTGATTTTCACTAAAGACTGATAACACAATCAAACCGAGCTCTCAGGTCAGAGAAAGCAAATTGAAAAGAATTACATACCACACTGCCTCCAACGCCTGCAATCCATTTCTGTGTTCCTCAGTACCCACTGATCATGCTGATGATCTTCATCGGAGATCTGTATGACTTGCTGAATTTCTACAGCTTTCCCAACTGGCTCTTTATGGGACTTGTAACCTTCGGCCTCATCCGGCACCGCTACAAACATCCCAATCTGCCTCGGCCTTTCAAGGTACAGTATAATATCATCTACCTGCTTAAGTTAGAGGCAACCGAGTAATAGAATGCCTTCCTTTCTCCTCATTAGTTACAGAGTCAGCACCCAGTTGACCTTATGCTGTCTGTTTGAATCAGTCCTGAGGTTTCGGGCACGGATTTTGTGGAAGGTATCCTTTAGATAGCAGGACTTATATGGTCAGACGTGCGATATTCATCCACTGAAATAGTCCTAAACCTGAACCTCTGTGTAGTCATAGGCTGTAAACCATCCTGGCTTCAAATTTAACAATTGTTGCTATTTCTGATTTTGGAAGTCAGTTGTTTTTAAGAACTGCAGAAAACTGGCTTCAAAATGAAGACTAAATTGAAGAGTTTTCCACAATTCTGCTCCCTCCTATATTTTAGGACAAAATGGTCCAAACAACAACAAAATTACATTTGTATAACGCCTTTCATGTTGCGGAGGATGTCCCAGGCAATAACTGTGTGGATATCCAGACTGTCAGATTCATGCACGCAATTCTCCTGACCCCAGACACTGGAAATGGGAAGGGCAGAGGAAGCAAAAAATGTAAAGTGGGATTGAGACAGCAAGACACCATGCTGCAGAGACTAAAGGTCTTACAGGATAACAGGCAGAATTCTGGGCTTTGACATACTGATGGATAGGTAAATAGGATTCATTCATTGATAATGCCAATCGTATCACATTAAAAATACAATGTTGCTCTGTCAATCTCCGGATCCTATTGTCATTATGTTATTCCTGCACTTTGATGGAACACCTTGGATTACATCAAATATTGTGTTGCTCACAGTAAATGGGACACAATCTAATGTGATTTATGATTTAATCAAGTATTCCCTTATCTGTGCAGGTTCCGATCATCTTTCCTGTCATCTTTACTGTCGTGTGCCTGTTCATTGTGACCATGTCCCTTTACTCGGACCCTTTTAACACAGGGGTTGGCTGTGCCTTAACCCTATCTGGCGTGCCTGTCTATTACCTGACAGTGCATAGATCCCAAACACCAGCCTGCTGCAGAAGAGCATTTTGTGAGTACATAGGCCAGTGTCATGCATTGTGCGAAAGGACAGGATGTGCTGATGATTCAGGGAAGAGGAGGAATGTGATTTTGAAAATGTTTATTCTCAGTTGGATCAGGCACTGCCATTAGACCCCAAACTGCTGGGTCCCAGCGACGGTCAAGCAATGCTCTAATCCATTGCTAATGAGGACCACTTCGCTGTTGGCGGCACCATGCCTTGCACAAGCCAGTTTGATCTGCTTTTCCTGCTCAAAGTCAACCACATGACTGGAAAGTGAATGGTCAAAATCCGATCCGCTTTTCCTGCTCAAGGAAAACGATCCCACTATGCTAATCACAGAATGTGGGAAGGGTAAGAAAAAAAGTTTCTTAATATCTGCCCAGGACTCCATGTCACTCATCTATGCTACTGTCATCCATAAAAGTGTGGCAGAACAATATAGCGCAGTGCATTATTCAAGAGCCTACATATTCATCTGTCTTCACATTACCTTCTGCTGGTGATCATAAAGTGCGTTAATATTCCTAAATGTAAGAATGACTGACATAGACATGCTTGTAATGTCATAATATAGCTCACAATCCTTAGCACTGCAAGAGCCAGGTCAAACAAGTGCAAGGTTATTCTGAAATAAATCAGTTCTCTACCAGCTGTTCATAATAATAATCCTTGCTTTTGATATAGCGCCTATCACATCATTGAGACGTCTCAAAGCGCTGCACAGAATATATTGCAAAGTCAAAAAACTGTGTATTTTGTGGGTGAAACACAAAGTAGCCAATTGTGCGCAGCAGTGTCCCACAAACAGCTGTGGATTGAGCGACTCCATTTTTTTTTGGAGGGATTATCACCCCCAGAAAGTTTTCTGCCAAATCGACTAACAACCGGGTTCCTACTTACCACTATGTAAACAGAGGTGTGCGGAGTAAGGAAACTTGCCTTAGGTTTCGCCTCTTCCGGGTCCTCTTGTTTGCTTGTGAGACTAGCGTGCTAACCACTACGCTACAGGACAGTGACATCGACTTACTGTGCAATCCCTGCCTTTTTGTTTTGGTTTTGCAGTAAATTTATTAAGCGGGTGTCTTGATACGATATAATATTTTAAAAATATTTGCAAACTCACTCGCTCACATTTGGGCTCCAAGGTTGGTTATGGAGTTTACCTGCGCTTATTTCTTTCAGACTTCCTCACTGAGAAGCTGCAGATCCTGATGGAAGTGATGCCTCAGGAAACTGACACACTGAGGGGCTGAGGAAGAGCGTACCACCACCAAACCACTGCAAGAATCATCTCATAGTGCAAGTGTCCTCATCTCATCGTACGGATATGATCACCTGAGACGCGTACTTTTTACTTTACCACATCACATCAGTCAGATACTTATTGAAACTATTTAAATAACTAATTCCCTGACTGATGTGATGTGGTTTACAGGATATAATGTAAATTGGTATGACTGTATGTATTTTGTGGGCGAACACAGCAGCTTGGTGTGTACAGCACATATCCAGAGCATCCAGGCCAACAATATCTGCTAAAATTAGTCACAAAATTCTTGAAAATATCACCAATTCAGTTGATAAAACACCAGCTGAAGTAGATAAGTGGGTGCCAGCATTGAAACCCACACTTGTCAAGCATTCAATGAAGAAGTCAGTATTAACCCTATGGTATAACAATATTGATTTTGAAGGTTAACCTTGTGTGTTGTTTGGCCCTTATGAGTACCTGGGCCGCAAGTGAGGGATTGGAATGTCTTTGTGTGATGTTTAGTCATAGATAGAGATCTTGGTTTCATGTCTCATTCAAAGGACGGCACCCTCTGTCAATGCAATGCACTGGAGTGGAACAGGTTAATCAGTTAGGTCTGTGAATTCCTCAATTCTGGGCGCTGACAAGCAATTAATCCAACCTCGTGCCTCCATATCACATCAGTCAGAGAGCTCAATGTTCTGCTGTGAGACTTTGTTTCTATTTGATTGTATACAACAAATTGCTCATGGAGTTGGATAAAGCTTCTATCGGCACTAACAATATTCCTGAATCAATATGTGCAATGTTATGTGGGTGTGACGTTTTCCTTTCCAGACTTCAGGATTTCTGTTACTCACTGGCTGTGTTAACTGACCCACTGTTCTCTAAAATTGGATTACCATTAATAATAAGGTTTTTTTTATTCGGCATATTAGTTAGGCCTCAGTTAGGCCTCAGCTGGAGTATTGTGTTCAATTCTGGGCTCTACACTATAGGAAAGATGTCTGGACCTTGGAGAAGATGCAAAGGAGATTTACTAGAATGATCCCAACGATGAGGGACTTCAATTATGTAGAGATCAGAGTGGGTGGGATTATTCTCCTTAGAGCAGAGAAGGTTGAGGGGAGATTTAATAAAGTTGTTCAAAATTATGAGGGGTTTAGAGTAGATAGGAAGAAGCTGTGTCTTCTGGCGTGTGAGTCGGTAACCAGAGGATACAGATTTAAGATAATTGGCAAAAGAACTAGAGAGGAGGCAAAATTATTTTATCCAGAGAGTTGTTATGGTCTGGAATGCACTGTGTGAAAAGGTGGCGCAAGCAGATTCGATAATAGCTTTCAAAAGGTGACTGGATAGGTAGTTAAAAAGGAAAAAATGACAGGGCTGTGGGGTATGAGCGGGCGAGTGGGACTAGTTGGTAGCTCTTTTAAAAAGCCGTCACAGGCACCATGGGCCGAATGGTCTCCTTCTGTCCTGTACTGTTCTATGATTCTGCATGTATCCTTTCTTTAAGACTTAACTAACGTGTAGGAAGCATTCCGGGACGCTACCCCCCGTGAATGGCACTATATAAATGCAAGTTGTTGTTGTAGGAATATTAAATAATGTGTAACGCTTGCTGTAAAGTAAATATATCCAACGATTAAAAACATGCCATAATAACAACCAACCAAACTGTCACTTCTGTGGTTACAATGTTACCCGCATTATTCAATCGATGTTAAAGACATTGTGCAACACACAACTGCCTGTCGGCAACGCAACTTCATTCTATGTTGATGTGTATACTGTCGATGGGCATTTTCCTTTTGGTTGATCTATTACCATTAAATACCTTTGCATATATTGTTGTGCACCTGGGTAACATTCACTTTCTAGCCATGAGGTTGACCAATCGGTGCGGCATTGGTAGGGGGAATAGTAGTCTTGTGATGGCTGGAAACAGCATGCCTTCTTCATAAACCCTGTGAGAATCCAGACAGTAGGGTGGAGAGAGAGGGGGGCCAGAAAACTTCAGTGTTATCCCGCTTCCTAGTGGCTCAGAGAAGAATCGCTCCTGATGTGAAACAATTCAGAGTTTCAGTGTCAGACGGAAAGAAGTGGAAGCATCTGTGGATATCTTAACCCATACAGAGAGGCCGACATTTTGGTGCCAATTTGTCTGACTAAGGAGCAGGAAGTTAGGGCGGCCCTTCTGCTACTCTGCCTCCACCCTCTGGAACTCCATCCTGCAATCCCTTGGCCTCGCCCCCTACCTTGTCTCCTTCAAGACCCATCTCAAGACCATCCTCTTCGACTGTGCCTTCGATTACCCTGCTTCCAACCCTGCCTTCCACCCCTCCTAATCGCGACCCCAGCTCGTGTCTGAGACTCTGTCTGTCCAGCGCCTTGGGACGTCCTCCCGACGTGAAAGGCACTATACACATGTAATTTTGTTGTTGTTTTTGTTGAACCTTGTTTCACTATCGGCATTCTCCACATGCGGTTATGTTGTGGTTTAAAATATGCCTGGTTGTAATTAGTACTGCCACAACACCTTGGCACCCACTACAATATTAAGAACTTGTAATTATAATAATAAATAATAATCCTTGCATTCAATATAGCGACTTATCACGTCATTGAGATGTCTCAAAGCACTTTACAGATTATATTGTAAAGTGAATTGACTGTATATTTTGTGGGCAAAACATAGCAGCCAATTGCACGCAGCAATGTCCCACAAACAGTTGTAATTTGAATGAAAATATTTATTTGAGGGATTGCGATCCACCAATCGACTTACAACTGGGTTCCTACTTACTGCTTGGTAAATAGAGTCATGTGGAGTAAACAAACTTCCCTAAGGTTTTGCCCTGCCCAGATATCAAACCCAGGTCCTCTTGCTTGCAAGGCGAGTGCGCTAACCACTATGCTACGGTTAGCAAGCTTATTGCAAGATCACAGGACATATGAACCATTGAACCCTATAGTATGAACCATTGTTTTTAAAAGGTTTGAATACAGATGTCTAAATTAAAAAGTTATTACAGTATGTATCTGGTCCCAAAACGTTAATGTCCAGAAAAGAGTTTCATCTGGTAACCAGATGTCGAATGTTTCTTGTGCAGCGAAGATGTGTTTACATTGGAAGTCATATACATTTCATTAACGTTACCCCTCCAAAGTCTAATGACAGAGAAACCCCTTGTGTGCAGCAATCTGATTCGATAGCTTCCACAGAGCTGCAGGATTAAAGTTCAGTGTTGTGACAATGTTCTTGAAAAACGAAACAGAAAGTTTGTTTGGAACAGAGAAGCTGGAAAATGTAAGGCTGTACGAGAAATTATTATTATTATTATAAATTCCCATTCAATGGCAATTTAGAAGATGGACTGAGCGGTTGAACTGATTTCTTGTGATTCATTGCTTTCAGTGAGGCTGGTGACATTTCCAAGTTGGTGAGTAAGTCATAATAACAATAATAATAATAATCCTTGCATTTGATATAGCGCTTTTCACGTCGGGAGGACGTCCCAAAGCGCTTCACAGAACATACTTTAAAGTGAATTGACTGTATATTTGTGGGCGAACGCGGCAGCCAATTGCGCACAGCAATGTCCCACAAACAATCGTAGATTGAAAATGACCAATTTAATTATTGTTTTTGGAGGAATTATTATTAGGTGTGTGGAGTAAGGAAACTTGCCCAAGGTTTCGCCCTGCCTGGAATTGAACTCAGGTCTCTCACTTGCAAAGCGAGTGCTCTAACCACTGAGCTACAGGACTCCACGAGTCATTGGGTGACAAAGTGAGGGAAGGACTAAGAGAGTGACTTAGTCACCGGCCACCCAATATAAAGTATGAAGCATTTAACTTGAGGAGGGGAATCCATCAAAATTATTATGCCAACATTTTTTTCAAATCTTCTGGAAAGTATTCTTTAAATAAATGACCAATAATGACTATACTCGTGGGGAGGGGAGTGGAAGATCAGCGGGGTCTCCTTGGAACTCAACTGTCTTCAAGGTGACATGCTTTTGGACTTGAGCCAACCTTCTTGATACACTGGTTCCTGAGGTAGATAGGTTAAACATACTGCAGGACATTGCTGATGACAGACCAGTCGGTCTGGCTCATCAGTGGGAGAGACCAGTCAGTGAGGGGAAAGGGAATTCTTCCCACTCAGCTCCTATTAACCCTGCAAGCCAAAGCCCTAACAGGTAAGGTGGTCCTTCCTGGACAAGCAGCAGGAAAACTTGCCAGACAGTGCTTTCAATTGAAAATTGTATGGTTTTACAAGAACAAAATTAAATTTGTATAATGCCTTTCACGTCAGGAGGACATCCCAAGACCCTGGACAAACAGTGTTTCAAACCCGAGCTCGGGATTGGGGAGGGTGGAGAGCAGGGGAGCGAAGGAGGATGACTGAAGAGGAGGGTCTTGAGATGGGTCTTGAAGGAGGCAATGAAGGGGGCGAGGCAGAGGGACTGCAAGATGAAGTTCCAGATGGTGGGGCCGAGTGGCAGAAGGTCCACCCACCAATGGTGGGGCAGGCAAGGCAAGGGACGTGAAGCAGGCTGGAGCGGATGGAGTGGGCAGGTTAATAGGGGGTTAGGAGGTGGCAGAGGTAGCTGGTTAAACTCGAGCAGTACCCCAACACACACTCTGGAGTCCTCGAACCGTGGCTCTTGCCAACCTGCACCTAATACGCTCCGAAATTAGGTGATCGGGGTGCGTCCCTCCAGGTAGCAAGTGTGCCTCGCATTCCAGAAATGGTATTTTCCATGTTTAGGTAGCGCACATGGAATTCTCAATCTGGTTTGGATGGTGATAGGTTTCTGCACGTGTCAGACACCTGGCTGACCGAAAACAATTGTGTAAAGATGGCAGTATGTTACATAATATTGCAATCAGCACCGCAACCTAATGATATACTGTCTAACTTTTGATATGTCTCCCACTACCCTGAATGACCTTCCAATTTAAATGAGTAACTATAGTAAACCAATATGACCTGACCAAAGAGCAAAATCTCTACAGGTTGCTCAATAACTTCTGATATTTTTCTTCCCTAGTGCCGATCCTCTTCAGAGAATGCAGCACAGACTCACTCCACTCCTGCTCCTTGCAGCTCACGTCAACCAGGGACTGAGCCCCGTCTGCAGGCGACTACACGGTCTGTTCACAGTCCTCTCTTCACAACTCTCATCATTCACAGTTTCTACAAATATCGCCCTGCTCTTCTCTTCAGCAGAGCGCTCTGTCCTTTCCTTCTGGTCCCTTTTACACTAGCTTACACAAGGACTCTAACCACTATATCTCAGTGGTTAGAGCACTTGCCTTGCAAGCGTGAGGACCCGGGTTCGATTCTCGGACAGGGTGAAACCTTAGGCAAATCTTGAAACGTCCTTCCAAAGTGAAAGGCGCTATAATTTTGTATTAGGCAAGTTTCACACGCCTCTGTTTCCTTGCAGTAAATTGGAACCCGTGTTTCCTTGCAGTTAGTCGATTGGCATTTTCCGAGGGTAATAATCCCTCCAGGTCATAATCCCTCTAAAAAGACATATGATCACTCATTCCATGACTCTTTGTGAGACCCTGATGTGTGTAATTGGCTGCCACGTTTTGTCCACAAAATATACTGTTAGATATCAAAAAAAGGTCACCCAGCATTCCGTTTAGGCAAAATCTGTTAAGCCAAACTTTACTAGTTCTATAAAGTTACACCATAGAGGGATTGCAACAAATCAATACTACCGCGGGTCGAGACGGTCAGCAGCCGAGGTTCCAATCTGTCTTGTCTGGGTATTCAAGCTTTTTGATCTTCCATCAAGTCTTCCCTCGTGCTCCTCCGATCTTTCCCTTCTGTTTTTCCTTTTTTGTTCTCCCTGTCTTTATACTCTCATCCCACTCCCTCTATACCTTCCTCCAATCTCTTGTCAGTCGTTTTTAACATATCCAATCGTGTTTCCTTCAACCCTCTTTCTTTGTACTGACTCCATATGTTCCATGACCTCTCACTCCTTTTGACCCATTGTTAGTACGTTAATTCTGCACCCTTATGCTAACAATACGATATCTCAACAACGTGATAATAATAACAATCCTTGCATTTAATATAGCACCTTATCACGTGATTGACACGTCTCAAAGCGCTTCACAGAATATATAGTAAAGTGGATTGACTGTGTATTTTATGGTTGAAACATGGCAATCAATTGCACACAGCAGTGTCTCACAAACTATCGTGGATTGAGTGACCTATACAGCATCATACAGTACAAGACCCGAGGCTCAGTCCCTCAAGATCCTAGGCTTGGTCGTTTTAAACCAGCTCCAAACAAAATTCAAACTCCCAAGTAATGGAACTGCGTGAGAAAATACTATGTGGAAGGAAGAGAAGTAGAACGACAACAACAAACAAACAACAACAAAATTACATTTGTACAGCGCCTTTCACGTCGGAAGGACGTCCCAAGGCACTGGACAGACAGAGTTATGGACCCGAGCTGAGGGTCGGGGTGGGGGAGGGTTGAAGGCAGGGGGGAAGCAGGGAGATCGAAAGCACGGTCGAAGAGGAAATTAGAACTCAATCCACAAGCAACAGGTGTGTGTTTAGGTGGGGAGGAATCCCCCTTTGAAGCAGCCAGGATCCATATACTGTTAATGTACCCCCACCTTTTTTCTCTAGGGATAGCAGATGATACAGGAATGTTGATGCCCTTTGAGGAGAAGGGATATAAATAACAAGTACTCCGAGCCTTGAAGATTCCAAATAAATGCAAGTTGTTGTTGTAATGGGTGACATTTTTTGAAGACTAAGCTCAAAAATGCTTGAAACAAGCTGCTATATGTGTGTCCTTTCTGTTTGCAGGTGGGCTGCTGAGAGTGCACCCCCGGGTATCAGAAGCGATCGCCAATCAAAAGCCTGTGGTGGTGCTGGAGAGTACCATCATCACACATGGAATGCCGTACCCTCACAACCTCAAGTACGTGCCCTGCATGACCCAATCAGACATAGGAACATTAGAGCAGGAGTAGCCCATTCAGGTTCATGTTCCCTTCATTATGTAATTAACAACGAATGAAAGGGATTTATTAATTTTGCAATGAACAACCAGCCTGTTTTCACTCCTTGTGCATCAATTCCTGTCTTCCCATCTCACCCACACAGGACCATAGAAGTAGAGAAATTTAGAGCATAGAAGAAAGCCATTTGGCTCATCGTTTCTGTGCGGCTCTTTTAAAGACAAAAAGTTGGTCACTCAATCCATGACTGTTTATAATAAAATAATCCTTGCATTTGTTATAATGCTTTATCACCTCTTTGAGATGTCTCAAAACGCTTAACAGAATATGAATATATTTTGTGGATGAAACGTGGCAGCCAATTGTGCACAGCAGTGTTGCATCAGCAGTCATGGACGAGTGACCAACTTATTATTATTACTTTTTTTTTTGAAGGGATTATAGACCCCAGAAAAGCAATCCGCAAATTGACTAACAACTTACTTCCAGCTAGGTAACCAGAGGCATGTGGAGTAAGGAAATTTTCACCCTGTCCAGGAAATGAACCCAAGTCCTCTCACTTGCGAGGTGAGGGCTCTAACCACTAAGTTGCAGGATTCCAGAACTGTTTGTGGGACACTGATGTGCACGATTGGTTACCTCATTTTGCCCACAATTCACTTTACAATATATTCTGTGAAGCACTTTGAGACGTCTCAACAACATGATAAGGTACTATCGCGTCCTAGCGCCTTGGGATGTTCTCCCAACGTGAAAGGCGCTATAAAAATTTAATTTTGTATTTTTTTGGTCTATCAAATGCAAGGATTATTTATTATTAAAAGAGCAACTATCCATATCCCACTGCAGGATGCTTCTTTACTCTATCAAACAGAAATTGTAACCCTGGTTTGAGAAAAGAGTAGCAAATGATAAGTGTAATGAGTAGTGTCAGGTCACTCTTACTCTCCTTCCTTTGTTTGTTCCAGTACTGCTAGAGAGGTGGAGGAGGTGGTGATGAGACATGGAGCAGTGCCGGCTACGGTTGCTGTTCTGAAAGGCAGGATCCATGTGGGCTTGTCCGATCCTGAATTGCAGTACCTGGCTGAGAGCAAGGAAACGTTCAAAGCATCTCGCAGAGACCTGCCATACTTCCTAAGCAAAGTATGAGTTTATAGCACCCTGCAATGTTACAGCACATTGGTGTACTCTGATATCTTTCTCGACAAGCTGCTTACTGGAATCCCACTCCCCTGCTCATTCCCCATATCCTTCAATATTTGTCTCCTTCAAGAATTTGTCTAAATCCTTTCTAAAAGACGTCATGAATTCTGACAGATTGACAGATCGTGGCAGAGACCAATGAGGCTCAGGAACCCGCTATTTCACTGTGCAGCATTTTTTAAGGTTGCCACTTTCTGGAGTAGAAAGAAATGGCTGTAAATGAAGTGGAGTCCGTGGATGAGGTATCATCCTTCTCAACATGCCTTAGCTAAGGCTAAAGAATAAGGCATATGTCCTTTTTTTCTTTCTGAGCTATTTGTTGACAAAACAAGCAAAGAACAAATTTGGAGTCAAAGTTCAGTTACTTCACAGCCTTTAAAGATCCCATGACACCAAAGGAAAAGGGATTTGCTCTCAGGATCCTGGCCAACAATCCTCCAAATTAATTCATCATTTACGCCTTGGCTGTTTGTGGGACCTGGCTAGTAGAATGCTTTCTGTGGATAGAAATACAACGCGCGGTGTTGTTGGGGTTCAGAGCCACTGATTCTGGCTAGGACTTTTTTTGACAGGGCTTCTCTGGTGGTACTACGGTTTCAGCCACGATGATGGTAGCCCACAAAGTCGGTATTCGGGTGTTTGTGACCGGTGGCATCGGAGGGGTGCATCGCGACGGACAAAGGAGTAAGAGATTTCTTTGATACTTGAAATATAAAGGAGTCCCGTAATGTAGTGGTTAGCAAGCTCACATCACAAGCAAGAGGATTCCGGTTTGATTCCCAGGCAGGGCGAAACCTTTAACAAGTTTCCTTACTCCAAATGCCTCTATTAAACCAATGTCCTGTCTGCCTGTTCAGATGGATGTTAAACATCCCATGGCACTATTCAAAAAGAGAAGGGAGTTTCTCCTGGTGTCCTGCTGAATAATCCCCTAAATAAAATTTGTCACTCACTCCATGGCTTTTTGTGGGACATTGCTGTGCCCAACTGGCTGTCGTGTTTTGCCCACTTTACAATCCACTTTACAGAATATCCTATGAAGCTATTGGAAACGTCTCAACTATGTCAAAAGGTGCTATATCAAATGCGAAGATTAGTATAATTATAAAGAATTTCTATCACGCACATGATAAGAAATCTTACGCAGAACTCCTAATGTCTCCATGATGCAGAGCTTGTCATGTCTTTGGGTTCAGAGCTCGTAATGTCTTTGTGTTACAGAGCTTGAAACTCGGTATGATACAGGATTCACAATGTCTCTGAGACGTGATGCAGTTGTCATGCCCTCTCAGTTGACTTGTCTGCTGACACTTGTTGTGAAGCCTGACAAATGAGTAATTAGTGCTTGTAGGTAGCAGAGGATGATGAGTGCCCCGTGGAAACATATTCCATTAGAAAGAAAAGATGTCAAACACCCTCACGTCAGTAAAGGAAAAAAATTGCAATGATTGTCAATGCACAACAATAACCTGCAGTTATACAGCGGCCTTCACGTGGGTGCCAGCTCAAAGTATTGAGTATGAACAACCTATGAGTTAAGTTACGTGCAATGATTCCAGCTTCAGGTTGATTGAATGATTTTGTTTTTTCTTTGTTACAGCCTTGGATATAAGTGCAGATCTCACTGAGCTGGGACGTACTCCTGTTGCCGTGGTTTCAGCAGGAGTCAAATCTATTCTGGACATTGGATGCACATTGGAATATCTGGTATAATGAGTACAGTGTAAAACTACTATCGTTCCACTTCCAGTACCAGCTGTGAGCCCAGCGCCAGCTGCTTGGGTAACTGATGTGTTAGCTTTCAGCAGTCAGTGTGAAATGGGTTTAGATCGCTTCAGCCAAGTTCTCGATGATTATGAGTCTGGCATAGAATTGCCCCCAACTTAGCACTAAATCTCAGTCAGAGAGGCTATAATAAGGTGGTCGGCATGGGCAATGGAAATTGCACATTGGTAGCAATTCTTCTGAGTTAAGACAGAATGGGATAAAATTTGCGGTGCTTCCTAAACCATTCCTTGTCCTAATGAGCACAAGACACGCCTAAGAAACATGTGCAAATTGTACATTGGGTAGGATTGGAGGGAAGAATTAGAAGGCTTTAAATCAGAGCTATTCACTGCCAACCATTCCCACGTGCCTCCTAGCAATGAAGGTAAAACACACTGAGGGTGGGTTGTCCTCCCATCAACGGTAGAGGAAAAGGGGCAAGAAAAAAAAAGATGTAGCAAAGCTGGAACAAATAACACTGCTGGAATATTCTCGCATTACTGTGTGTTTGGGTTGATTTAGGAGACACAGGGTGTGTGCGTGGCCACGTTTGGAAAGACCCGCGATTTTCCTGCTTTCTTCATTCCTCAAAGTGGGTTTCAGGCTCCTTATAATGTGATTACCGAGGAGGACGCAGCACAGCTGATTGGTAGGTCTCTCATCCTTTATTTTATGACTTCAGTAAGTACAGCCAAGATCGTCTGAACATGCTCATTGTAATATTATTGATGATTAACTGTTGTTGGCTGCAGAGGTTGCAGAACTGGGGAGGATGAGATAGGAGTTGGGTTGCTCCAAAATTCCTGGGCACCTATTAGTAAAGGTGCGTGGCATTCAAAAGAAAAGTAGATCAGCTACTTCTTAATTAATGGTATTGAGGGATGGGGACAAAAATGGAAAATCGAATTAAAGAGTTTCCATAGACTGAACAGCGGAACAGACTTGATGGGGTGAATGGCCTTCCCTTGCTCCTATTTGCTATTATTGTGACGGAGCATTTTAGTGTCTGACCTGAGTGTGCCTCAGTGCTTACTATGCTCCAATTGCATTGTTGCTGTGGTCTCGGCAGTGATCTAGCAGGTTGTTTGTGAACTATCTGATGTTTTCATTTAAACAGATAGTGCCTGTGAGCTTGGCCAGGGTAGCGGTGTGCTGATCGCGGTTCCTATTCCTGAGGAGCACGCACCGGAGGGCTTCCTGATTGAAGAAGCTGTCCAGCAATCTGTAGCTGAGGCAAGGTAGACCCCACAAGAACAGTTTCTCTCGTTCTCCTTTCGAGCACCCATATTCAGCCCCACATCGCATCCACCAGCTATGTGGCCGGACTGAGCTATTCACAAGGCCCATGGTTAAGCCTCAAAGACTGTGAGGCACAAAATAAGCAAGGCCGCCTGGTCTTAGGTGTTTTGTCACACGCCCTTATCCTTATTTCCCATTCCCCCCTTACAACTCGGAATCTTGCACTAGGCCCTCTCACAATCCTGCTGGCTACTTCTTTCAAAACACCTAAAACAATAACAAAAACAACTTGCATTTTTATTGCGCGCCTCACACAGGATAGCGTCTCAGAGCGCTTAAGACGTGGGTTGGTCCAGGACCATGGAGAAACACACAAGGTGAATATGGGGCAAATAACTCAAGGACTGTCTTACTTTCACCACAATTTGCATTCATACAACACCTTCTAACTAGGATGAACATTCTGATGCGATGTGACGAGACAATAAAGAGCACAAAGAAACAATAACATTGAATGCAATGGGTGGTAGGTCCATTTCTCTTCCAAGACAACAAGAATGTAGCGGACCAAAGGGTGCACGGGGGCTGATATCTACCAGCTTCGCTGACTACCTGTTGTTGCTCTCTCCATTTAGGGCTGAAGGAATCCTGGGAAAAGAAGTGACTCCCTTCATTCTCCAGAGAGTTATGGAGCTCACACAAGGAGCATCTTTGAGTGCCAGTATCCTTTACATCTTAAAATATACTTGCATGTTTAATAACCTGTCTTGGAATCATTCTTTTAGCTGTAGCTCAATAGTGGATCACATTTTGAATATTGTTGGGCACCTTACTTTTATCTGCACACTAATACAATACAAAATTATATTTGCTAAATGCCTTTCACATCGGGAGGATGTCCCAAAGCGCTGAACAGTCCCGAACAGGCAGGGGTGGGTGGGGGGTTGTTGGGATCAGGAAGGGTAGAAGAGTGGCCGAAGGCCTGTCGAAGAGGAGGGCCTTGAGGTGTGCCTTGAAGGAGACAAAGTTGGGAGCGAGGCAAAGGGAATGTGGGATGGAGTTCCAGAAGGTGGGAGCAGAGAACCTGAAGGCCCGACCGCCAATGGTGAGCGGGTCGGGTGGGGCACATGGAGTAGGTTGGAGCCTGCTGAGTGGAAGGAGCAGACAGGTTGATAAGGGTTTAGCAGGTCGGAGAGGTAGGAGGGGGCAAGGCCATGGAGGGCCTTCAAGATGAGGATGAAAATTTTGAATTCGATCTTCTGAGGGATGGGGAGTCAATGGAGCCTGATGAGGCTGGGTGCGATGGGATCACGGAGCCTGGTGTTGGTGAGGTTATGAGCTGCAAAGTTCTGGATGATCTGCAGCCTGTGGAGGGAAGAGTTGGGAAGGCCGACAAGCATCGGCATAGTCGAGCCTGGTTGTAATGAAGCGATGTATGAAGATTTTGGCGGCCCGAGGGGTGAGGCAGTGGCAATGTTGCGGAGGTGGGGGAAAGCAAAGCAGGTCACGGCATGGAGGTGGGGAAAAAGGACAGAAAGGAGGGTCGAACAAGAAGACTAGGTTCCTGACTGGCTTGGTGAGGTGAGTGTACATCCTTGGATGCTGATGCAGCCAGTGCCTGAGGTGTGGAGGTGCTGGCGAGAACCAATCAGGAGAGCCCCGGTCTTGCTGACGTACAACTGTAGAAAGTTGGCTCTCTTCCAGGACTTGATGTCTGACAGGTAGTCTGTCAGGACATCAGTAGTCCTGGGATCAAGGGTGGAGCAGAGAGAAACAGTTGGGGGGCAGAGAGACCACCAGCTGTCCTTCCTTCCCCAAATTCGGTCGCTGACCAGAACCGCCTGCTTCCACCTCCGCCACATTGGTTATCTCCGACCGCACCTTACCCCAAATGTAGCCGAAATCCTTGTGCGTGAGTTTGTCACTTCCTGCCTGGATTACGCCTCGCAGTTCTCCCGAGCTCCACTATTCGAAAGATCCAGTTCATTCAAAACTCTGCCGCCCGCATACTGACCCAGACCACAAACTCCACACCCACATCTCACCAGTTCTGGTCAGACTCCACTGGCTCCCCATCACCGAACGGATTGACTTCAAGATCCTCACACTCGTGTTCAAATGCCTTCACTCTCTGGCACCTCCCTACCTCTCCAACCTCCTCACTCCTCAATCGACGCCTCCGCTCAACTGGCACCAGCTTCCTGCTCGTTCCTTGCACCCTCCACCCTACCATCGGAGGTCGTGCTTTCAGCTACTAAGCCCTGAAACCCTGGAACACTCTCCTTCAATCCCTCCGCCTTGCCTCCACTCTCCCCTTTTTCAAATCCCGCCTGAAAACCTTCCTGTTCGACCATGCTTACAGCCATCTCCCCCCCACCACCGGATCGGAGCCAAGCTCCGCCACCGTTAAGCGCTCTGAGATGCTATCCTGCTTGGAGGGTGCTATATAAGTGGAAGTTATTGTTGTTATTGTTCATTATTGTATTTTCTTATATTCAAAACTATAACTATAACCCCAACTGCAGGCTTAATGGGCTTTGGCCCTTAACCCCAAACTTTAGACATTGCTCTCATCAAGAATAACGCAAAAGTGGGCAGCCGCATAGCGTGTGCCCTGGCGAGACGGAGACATGGCAAGCATGCAATACCATCAGAACTACAGACAGAGAAGCAGGCCAACCCCACACAACCAGTAAGTTACAACTGAGATGTCTTTTTGTCCGAACACTTATTGTGATTTATCTTAAAAGGCAAAATATATTAATTTAAGTTAATGGTCATGGAGAGGTACTCTTGATCGGTGTCTTTGGACAGCTGTCACAGTCACATGAGGTGGAGAAATCCAGGGTAGAACATTAAGTACCTCTCACACCATTAATTCAATGCCAGAAATAAAATATTTGCTGTTAAAGAAATTGCAACACCAGTAATAACCTACAGCTTTCGTATAATCAATGCAATCCACTGTAACAGAACAGATATTATCATAAAGAACCGAAGGGATTGTACATGTAAAATTATTGTTGTGGCTGTCCCAAGTAATTACAATGTGAAAAATAAGGAACTGGAAAAAATCAGGAAATATATTGTTCTATAAATTGAATGTGGACCTATGTGGCAATGTAAAACAAACATAATTCAATCATTGGTGAAACTTGGACTGTTGATAAGATTATTCAGAAATGGATTGACAAAATACCTTGTGAACAAAATATCAACCTCCTGCAAAAAGTGGCTATTTTAGGAAGCTCAAATGCATTAAGAAAAGTAACATCCATTTGTATGTAAAGTGACAATGTTATTGGTCTAGCCGACCCATAATTGAAAGCCATTAAGAAGTTGCCTCTAAAAGAGTGATTTAAACTGTAATAACATAATAATAATAATCCTTGCATTTGATAAAGCGCCTTATCACGTAGTTGGAGTGACATCTTACACAATGTGATTCCAAGTTCAGACATGGGGCTTGAGCCCATAATTTTTTGACTCTGAAGAAAAAATGATAAGTGTAAACTCATCATTGAAAACATTACTTCCTGGCAACACACTCCCATCTCGTAGTTTCTCTCCAGAAGTGGAGTCCTATAGCTCAATGGTTAGAGTACTCGCCTTGCAAGAGAGAGACCTGGGTTCGATTACTGGCAGGACAAAACCTTGGGCAAGTTTCCTTACTCCACATGCCTGATAATAATCCCTCCAAAAAAAAAAAATAATTTGGTCACTGAATCCACGACTGTTTGTAGGACATTGCTGTGTGCAATTGGCTGCCCCGTTTTGCCCACAAATATACAATCAATTCACTTTGCAGTATATTCTGCTACTGGTTATTTCTGTGATCCTCCTGATTGTCATTCAGTTTTATTCTCCTCACAGGTGGTGATCGGCGGGTGCAATATTGATTTTATTGCAAAGGCAAACGATGATATAATGAAGGTACGTGAGGGGAGCCATTCCTCCTCAATTGGCAAAATGTGTGACTGCTGCAGTCTCCGTTGACACATTCACTGCTTTTTGAATCACTTGACTGTGAATCTCATTTGCAGTTTTGTTCTTTAAAACCTACAACTGGTGGCATGTTTTGCCTACGCTGTGCTCCGATTGCTATCAGGCTTGACATTTTCCCTTTGACATTCAATTGTCAGGAGATTGTGTATCCAGCAGGACTAAAGATTATTTGTTCTTTCCAATACATTGGGTCAACCACTTTTAATCTGTGATAACCAATACAGACGTAACAAGCACTTATAAACATCTAATTCACACACATGGGTCTGTGCCCTCAATTTTCTACAGTGGCCTTGGGAGCGTTTAGCACAGACATAGTCTAAAGAATTGCTACTCCAGCATTCATCTAAAGATGTGAATAAAGTCAGCAATACGCATTTTGGACGTTTGTCCTCAGTGCGGAGGGAAAATAATTGGTGGCTTGAAGCATCAAATCTACCTGTGACTGACTGACTGATGTCCACACAAATGGACCACTCTTTGCTCATCATACTTGTTCCGGTAATTTATTTTTGGTCAACCGGTTGTCCAATACAATCGGAAACCCATCACCATGCTGAAAAGTATCCAAACCAGAGTTCCATGCATCCCACCTACACGTCCAAATTCCCGGGTCCAGAATGGAATGTGTACTCTCTGCCTGGAGGCACTCATTCTGCTTACCTAATGTTGAAGAGTATTAGGTGCATTTGGCAAGAGCAAATGCTTCGGGACCCCAGAGTGTGTGATGGAGTACTGCCAGAGTCTAATCAGCTAAAACTGCAAAGCTGGCAATTGAAAGCACTGTCTGACAAGCTTCCTACTGCTTGTCCAGCTGGTATTATGATAGATACCATTTACATCACATTGGATAAGGTGCCACACTGACCAATGGGCAATTATTGCTTTTCACATCAACGCAAAGTTCATTCTCCATCTCGAGTGGACTCTTTAACAACTCTTTCTGTTGCAGTTTGGTGGAGTCACAAACCCAGGCAGTGTTTATCAGTCCTTCGGGGGAGTCGGAAGAAACCTGGCAGGTACTGAGATCTGAGACTTCACATCAAGGGTTTGATATCAGCAGTGCAAACATACCTGCTCATTCAGGTCATGGGGTTCTGCATTAAATGGGCTATCTCTTTGAGGAGTTTGTCAGATCTGATTATGATTCTACTGCTGGTCCCTCACATCCAGCATCATCAGTAGTGGAGTGGGAGGGGAGGAGGGGTAAAAGTCAATCACTGCACAACGAAGTACGACTGAGTGTGTTTATTTCAGATTGTCTGAGTCGTCTGGGGATAGCACCACTCTTCATCTCTGCTATTGGGCAGGATGGACATGCAGAAGCATTCCTTCACAATTGCAGTCACATGGTATGTCAACGTAACTACACCTATCGACATTTATAACCATGAGCTGGTTGTTATTATATAATAGAGCATTTTAAATCAACTAAATATACTGTGACCACAGTAATGCAACACAAATTTTACTCCTTCTCCCCTGCCACTGAATGTATTCCTGTCCATATTCCCTTCTACCCTTTGTTACTGTGTATAACACTTCTCTATTACTCTAGACCATTTGTTACTGGGTACAACATTACTGTAATACGGTACATTAGTGTACAAATTATAATATGACATGTCCACTGAATTATAATATTCCTGTATATATTACAAGAGGTATAGTGCTGCTTGATATATTTTAACATCTTTTGAAGTGAGAAATATATTTGTAGTTAAGTGCTTCAGTACCTATCACACATTAACACTCTACTAGGTAAATCACTCCAGAAACCATTATATAATAACATCCTGCTCATTGGGGAAGTTGCTCCCATAATAATTATACAATATTTCGATGTTACTAGATGGATTATTTCAGTAACTACGACAACTGTTACTGGTAACCAAGAAAATTGCTCTTATAACTATTATTGAATAATCCTCTGTATTACCAATGACTATTATATAATAGCCAGTGTGACCAAGTAAATCAGTCCTGTAGGGTTTTATACCTCACCACCTGAAAAATTCCAAAGTAAACACAAAAGGGTCATAATGAATTAACATGTATTGTCAATAATAGAAGATTATCAAATCAGATTGTCAAATAATAGAAGAACATAGATCACTATCTAATATGCATTAGATAAAATAGCGGCCAAGTCAGAAAAATTAAGTAATGATCGGGTTACCTTTTTGCTGGGAGAACTTCAGCTATCTTTTTAGCTAGCATTTACAAAAGACACTCTCTGTCTACCTGTATCCACAGCTCAAACTTATAGTCGGCCTCCATTTTAACCCATAATCCTTCAATTTGCAGCTGCTTTCTTTGTTTGATGACCAGTTTCAACCATTTTCAAGATTGGGTTCTTGTCTAAGTCCATGTTTTTCTCACATTATCAACAATGCATAAGTGTGGGATGGGGTTTCAAAACCAAGGAGACAATATTAATCAGTCCTTTCCCCACAGAATTAAATTCTGCGAGACAGGTTTATCAGTCCTTTCACACAAAGTTATTTTATCTTTTTCCTTACACTCATGTAACTATTATTTAGTAACTTGATGTTACCAGGTAAATCACTCCAGTAAGTATTATATACCTACTGTTACCAGGTGAATTGCTCTTGTAACTATTATATAATAACAACCTATGTTAATGGGGAAGTTACTTGGTAATCGCCATTGCTTGGTAAAATACATTTAATGCATTGTATATTGCAGAACTGCACATTATAAAAAATCTATATGAAATGCTCTATGCAAAATCCTGTGTTATGCAGATGTAATGCATATTGTGCCTATTAAATTTACCAGATCACCAGCAGTTTGACCTCTCTGTGCCATGCTCCATGTTTATCCATACCGATGCATTAATGTTGTGCTGCTGTACAGCACTATGAAATTCCTAATCACCTGTTCTGACTCTTTCCAGGACACCAGTGCTGTGGCAAGGTTACCAAGCTGCAACACAGCAACATACTGTGTGGTGATCACAGGAACCGGGGAGCTGTGTATGGGAATTGGGGACATGGACATTCACCAGCAGATAACGGAGCAGTATGTAAGAACAAGAGCCCCTGACTCACAATTTACTTTCCATGACTGACAATACATTATAGTTTTAGAAACAAAGGTTTCTGAAATTACCAGAAATTATAGAGGTTCGGACGAAAAATCATCCACCTGAAACGTTAACAAACTTTCCCCTCTCCATAGATGGTGTCTGACCTGCTCAGTGTTCCCAGTGACTTCTGGTTTTATTTCAGATTTCCAGCATCTGCAGCACTTTGCTTTTTTTTTTGAACTTATAGAGGGTTCAAAGCACGTAAGGGCAAGAATAATCCTTGCAGTTGATCTAGCGCCTTATCATAGCGTCAAGATGTCTCAAAGCACTGTTTACATTGCTGGGTGTACATGATGTCACTGAGTTCCATCCATCTGCCCATTCCCTCCCCTTCGCAAACAGAGGCTTCTTGGACATTCCTGCACTTTGCACTCCACCACAGGCATCTGAGTTTTTAGCTACTTTGCCCTAGTTTTCTTGAGCTCTCTCTCTAAAATTCTCCACTTACACCCACCATCTCTGTTTTTAAAACTCTTCTGACAGTCCATCTCTTTTGGTTGTGCATTCACTCATCTCCCTCCACCAATACATTTCCCATCTTGCTTGATTTTATCGTATGTGAAAAGTGTTATATATGGTGTGCAAGTTATATTTGAGTGACATGTCAAGGATATAATTTAAATCTTAGAGTTGAGTTGTACCTTTTTAATAATAAATAATAAAAAATTCTTCCATTTGATATAGTGCCTTATCACGTCGTTGAGACATCTCAAAACACTTCACCGAATGTTTTGTAAAGTGGGTTGATTGTGTATTTTGTGAGCGAAACGTGTCAGCCAATTCCACAAACAGTTGTGGATTGAGTGACCAATTTTTTTTGAGGGCTTATTACCCCCGGAAAGTGACTAACTTACTGCTAGGTAAACAGAGGCATGTGGAGTAAGGAAACTTGCCTAAGATTTCAGCCTGCCCAGGAATCGATCCTGGGTCTTCTCGCTTGTGAGGCGAATGCGCTAAATACTATATATGGGACTCCAAGTGATTTTTTTACTTTCCTGAGGGCTCTTCCAATGTAATCTTCTTCCCCTTTCCCAATGGTATTATTTTTCTCCAATGGGCAATGTAGACTATGTACAACCTCTTCCTGAGCATCTTTGCATTGGAGAATTGTATCATGGTGGGTGGAAGAGAGGTGGATTGGGGGATTACACAATAAGTGTGCTCAGACCTGTAAAAAGTACATCAACTCTTTGTAAGACTTCATTTAGAAAGAATGATTTATGGACAGGGGGGGAACTTTAAAGATGGTACCTGGAGCCTCTCCCCCACAAAGTGTGTACCCACATCCGCATCATCACTATTATTCCTGAGTATCTGAGCTGCTGTTTGTCTTTTGCAGACTTCTCAGTTTGAGGAACGGCTGCGCTCAGCATCACTGGTGTGTTTGGATGGGAATATCCCTGTGTCAACCTTAGACTATGTCTGCAGAGTCGCTAAAGACCATAATGTGCCAGGTAAGGAACTGCATGAGCAGGTTTGTTCTCCGGTCTGTACTGACATAGTTTATTCCAGCCAGGCTTAGGGTGGGACGAATTGGGGACAGTGGGTTGGGAGTTTCTGGAGAGCGTATGTGTGACTATGATGGTGGCATGGCCTACAAGTAGTATCCAGGCTCACCCAAGATTATTAATGGTCACTCGGGCATGAGCAAGCTGATAGTATTGTACCCCTACGTGGTTGCTGCATTCTTAATGGGGAACAACAACTTGTGTATATATATAGTGCCCCTCACTCAGGGTGGCTTGACAGTGGCGGAGCACGATACTGAGCCGGGGGAAGGGGGAGGTGACGGTAGGCACGGTCGAAGAGGAAGTCTTCAGGCGCAATCTGAAGATGGGGATGAAAGAGAGCAAAGCAAAGGGATAGAGGAACAGTGTTCCAGGGTTTCGGGGTGCAGTGGCTGAAAGCACGGCCACTAATGGTAGAACGGAGGGCATGAGGGACATGCAGGAGGCCGGAGCCAGTAGAGTGGAGGCAGTGGGTTAGGAAGTAAGCAGGTCGGAGAGGTAGGGAGGTGCCAGGGCATGAAGGGATTTGAAGACGAGTGTGAGGAACAGCCTCGTTCCAAAATGATCCTGGTGTAGTTCCCGGAATGACTGTGTAAGCAGACTGCTCCTGACAGTCTGCACACAAATATTTTACTAAAGGTAACAACTGAAAGAAACTTCACTAGTCATATCATCCTGAAGGTATGCAATATTTTGCAATAATATATATTGAGTGCATAGATTTTGGGTAGGCAAATGGGTTAACTATGTTGCATACAACCATAATAACATTTCATTTGATACAACGTCAATAACACTGATAAGTTTCAAGCAGGAAAATCACTGGATTTTGTATTTTGTAGATGAATGCAGCCACCAATTTGTGTACAATAATGACTCAAAATAGCTATGAGGTGAATAAACAATTCTAGGGGATTGTTGATCAGAAAAACTCCCTTCTCTATTTCCAAATAGTGTCTTGGGATCTTTAACAGGCAGGTGAGAGCTTGGTTTAAAGGATCCTCAAAAAGTTGCCTAAGATAAAGCATTGCTCATCCAGCTCTAAACTGGAATATTAATTAAAATTAACTTGGCCAATTTCCTTTCTTGTTCTGTGACTATGTGAAAATGTCCCCAATCAGATCACACCACCAATGCCAATCCAGGAATTTGACTTATGGTGTAAAATCCTGAATGTTTTGTGTTTTCTAGTCTGAGCGGAGATATGCAGATCGAGAACAAAAGGGCAGGAGCTAAGTTGAAAAATGCTCTCATGGTTTCCTTAATGGTGCAGCACTGTAAGGAAAGCCAGTACTGGGCCAGCTGTTCTGTGAAGCTGCTTCAGATGCCTTTGCCTGTCCAATTGCACCATCTGCTGTTATATTAATAGTGCCAGAGACAAGGTGGATTCTGGTGATTGTTGAGAAAGCATAAACACCCAAACGTGTATCAGTGAGATAACAGGCAAACTAAAAGCTATCCCCAAAGACTGACTCCACCAAATTTGTGTCAGCAAGAGCTGATCATTGTTAGATTTACACCTAAATACACAAGAAACTGAGCTGCATGGAATTACCCCACCTGAGTGAGAGAGAGAGAGAGAGCTCCAAAAGCAGGACAAACAGTGCACAGGAGGTCATTGCTAGTTTTCAGTGGGCAAGTTTCCTTACTCCACACGCCTAATAATAATCCCTCCAAAACAAAACAATAATAAATTGGTCATTTTCAATCCACGACTGTTTGTGGGACACTGCTGTGCACGATTGGCTGCCGCGTCTCGCCCACAAATAAACACTTTACAGCATATTCTGTGAAGCGCTTTGAGACGTCGAGAAGATGTGAAAAGTGCTATATCAAATGCAAGGATTATTATTATATATAGCTATTATCCGGACACAATCCTGAAATGTTGGTTTATTTGCAGTGTGGTATGAGCCCACAGACTTCAACAAGGCCAGTAAACCCTTTGTATCGGACAGTTGGAGAGCCCTGATGTACACCTCACCCAACCTAGGCGAGCTCCGCTCGATGAACGAAGCTCTGGGCTTGCCAGTTCCAGCAGGTAATTTCCAAGCATTAGATTTTGTTTTCAGACACGAGATGTTTCCAGCATCCCAACAGAGGCAGAGTCACAGGATCTTGATAGACATATAGAAACATAGACATTTGTGGCCTGAAGTCATTTCTGCCCTCATCATATCTGTCCCACTGCTGGGGGGGAGTACATGAACTCTTGTCCTATTTACCAGAAGAGGTGAAACCTGCAGACTGAATGGTGCTGGGCTTGGCGCCGGACTGTTATAAGTGGTTGGAGACGCCCTTGTAAGTAGACACATGAAATCGTTTGCTCCTGAGCTCACTGGAACATTGCCTGATGCCTGTGATGTTACTGTATGATTTTTGTTTCTCTCCTGGGTGCTCAGAGTTGCCCTCAGAGATGGAGGATGTGATTGACGTGGCAATGAGCATGTCGCGGCCACTGCTGAAGCACCTGCAGTGTGTGCTGGTTAGTCTGGGCTGTCAAGGCGTGCTCCTATGTGGCAGGGGTGAAGCAGGAACACTTTCTCTTCAGCCAAGGAAAGACCATCAGGTCAGCAGACTCTATAGGTGGTGGATTGTCTTGTACAGTCCAGCCTCTGTTTGTTTGTTTGTTTGTAATAATAATAATGATTCTTGCATTTGATATAGTGCCTTATTATGTCATTGAGATGGCTCATAGAGCTTCACAGAATATGTTGTAAAGTGAGTTGACTGTGTATTTTGTGGACAAAATTTCGCCCACAAAATATACAGTCAATTCACTTTACAGTATATTTTATGAAGCGCTTTGAGATGTCTAAAAGACGAGAACAGCGCTATATCAAATGCAAGGATTATTATATATATATTATAAAATGTGCCAGCTAACTGCACGTAGCAGTGTCGTACAAACAGTCGTGGCTTGAGTGACCAAATTTTTTTTTGAGGGATTATTACCCACACGAAGTGATCCGCCAATCGACTAACAACCGGGCTCCTACTTACTGCTAGGTAAACAGAGGTGTGTGGAGGAAGGAAACTTGCCTAAAGTTTTGCCCCACCTTGGAATTAATTATCCTCATTAATATTAATGATGCATCACTAGTTAACAGCCTGATGGATGGGTGATGTAGCAGGTTATTTACTGCACTGAAGTAGGCATATAGTCACCCAGTTTATGAACTGAGCAATGAGCTGTACTTACATGTATCCACAGTGTTCGTCATTTATAATTGAAAATGCAGATATCACAACAAGAAGAGGCAAACAGTTCCACCTCCGGGTAATCAGATGTGTGTCACACTGACAAACAGGAACTCACTCCAATAGGAGAAGGTGTCAGACAGGAGTTCCCCAGATCAGTGTGACATTTGTCTTTACCTGCATGAAATACTGTTTGCAACTATGATTCGCTGTTTGTGACTGCTTGTTGTGAATAGTACATCTTCAAAAGACTGGCTATAGGAGACTTACCTTACCCCCACCCCCTGAGAGAAAGCCCCTACTTCTTCACTTGCTTCCTCCCTGCTATTACAGTCTGAGATCAGTCAACCAATGTCCTGAGGATGAAGTGCGCAAACCCAGCATCCAAGGGCTCTGGAGCAGAGCTCGGGAAGGAACATCTCTTTTATGGTTTCTGTTCTTTTTCTAGAGTGCAATCGGTAAGGTGTGTGCTCTCCATCAACCGTCAATTTCTGTGGATGCGGAAGAGATAATGAATGTGTCTGGAGCTGGCGACAGGTACAAGACCCTCAACCTCCTCACCAACCCACCCGTCTGATAATTGCAAATTCTATTTCTCCACACATGAACTGGATAGAGTTTGACATTCAATTCTAAGCAGGTTCAATGGAGCAAAGTTACAATGTTTCTTTATTTGCAACAGCACTATGAGGCCTACGTGGGAATCTTGGCACTGAATGTGCCTAAAGGAAGAAAGTAACAAATCCTGTTAACCTACTCTTAATCTCTCTTCATTCTGCAGTAGTAGCAGGATCTATCATCTGGCCAGCCTTACCCATTAGCAGAGATTTGAGGAGGATTATCTAAAAAAAAGCAAAGGGATTTCCTTCCAATTATACAAGTTAGGGTAGGTTAGGAAATAAAAAGACACTGGCAGTGGAACAAGAGACCCATTAAGTCATTCTTAATAGCTACTAACTATGAATCTTAAAGATTAGATAGCTGAAATCGCATTTGATTTAGCTTTTAAGCTAGATATTTTTCCAGTGAACCATGGTGAGACATGGTGTTCATTATACACAAAAACATTAATCTCAGCTTGTTTACCTTGTGTGCATTGGATAGTGATCAGTGACTGCTTTGCAGATGTCTTATTTCTACCAGAAAAAATATAGCGTCCTTCCTACTGACTGAGGATCAGCATTACACCTTTACAAATCCACCCCCCACCACTCCCCCCCCCCCCCCATAAGGAATATTTTACTAACCTAGTTTCCTGGCACAAACCTTCTAATAACAGTGCATCCTTTTACCCATCCTTCACCCTGCTGCTTCAAAGCGATTTCCTTCATTAATGATGTGTCCTTTCAGCGGTTCCTCTGTTGCTTGGAACTGAGGATGACCAGTCATATTACTTGCTGGTTAGCAATTGATGGGTCCCATTTTGTGGCCTCCTTGCTTGACTTTGGAACCCGCATGCATTGTTGGAAGTGCATCTTTGAGATGAGACATTAAACTGAGGTCCAGCCTACCTATTCAGGTGGCCTTTAACGAAAATACACTGTTAGAAAAAAGAGGGGAATTTCTCCCAGTATCCTGACCAACAATCCTCCAAATTACTTGGGACGTTCATCTCAAATCTGTTTGTACAAGTGGCCTCCACATTTGCCTACAATCCAATCACTTCATTGGACTGAGTTACTTGTGAAGTGTCTTGAGATGTTTGACTTTATAAGATGATAAGGTGCTATAAAAATGTAATGTATAGTTGCTATGTGCCTTTTAGGTAGCATTGAATCTAGTGATAAAAGGCAACACAGGTTAGTTCCTGTGAGAGCTTCCTGTGCATATCTTTACCTCACTGTTATTCTTTGCCTTGCTGCCGCACTTTGTCTTCACTAATTCCCTTTTGGTTCCACCTCGCACGCCACGGCCAATGTTTTCCACTGTTTGTCACCACGGTGAGCAAATAATAACAGGTCTCACTCTGCTAAAGTTTGCACTTTGTTTAATCGCTCCTGACCACTTTAAACTAAAACTGTACTTGTGGTTTCAAAAAGGTGAAACTCAGCAATTTTTTAACTTGAGCCCAATTTTTTTNAAATATACAGACATATTTGTTGATCCTTTGGCAATAATCGGACGCATGACTTACAGCAATAATAATTTGATATGGCAACTTATTACATTATTGGCACGTCTCAAAGCGCTTCAAAGAAGATATTGGAAAGTGGATTGATTGCATCTTTTGTGGGCGAAATGTGACAGTCAATTGTACACAGCAGAGTCCCACATTGTGGATTGAATGAACAAATTATTTTTATTTATTTATTTTTGGAGGGATTACTATCCCCAGAAAGGTAAATAACAACCAAGTTCCGACTTACTGCTAGGTAAATAGAGGCATCTGGAGTGGGTAAACTTATTTAAGGTTTCACCCCGCCTGGGAATCAAACCCAGGTCCTCTTGCTTGTCAGGCGAGCACGATGACCACTACCCTTCAGGACTTCACGATGCAATTGCGTAACGCATCAGCTTTTTTAAACCATCTAATCACTGCTGTTCAGAGAATGAGCGTGATTTCACTTTCGACTTTTAAAAAGTTCTTTATTAGTTAATAATGTGGAGTCCTGTAGCTCAGTGTTTAGAGCACTCGCCTTGCTAGCGAGACACCTGGGTTCATTTCCAGGCAGGGCGAAACCTTGGCCAAGTTTACTTACTCTACACGCCTAATAATAATCCCTCCAAAACAAAACAATAATAAATTGGTCATTTTCAATCCACGACTGTTTGTGGGACACTGCTGTGTGCAATTGGCTGCCGCGTTTCGCCCACAAATATACTGTCAATTCACTTTACAGTCTATTCTGTGAAGCGCTTTGAAATGTCTAGGAGACGTGAAAAGTGCTATATCAAATGCAAGGATTATTATTATCATCATCTATTTTTTAAGAGGAAAATATGATGTGAAAAAGTGTGTTTCTTCTTCATCTGCTCCAAATCAGTTAATATTTATTGTTGACTTTTGATAAGTCTATGGCAGCCCTCATATTACAACATCAAATCATCACTTTCTTTTTCTAAGGATCAGCCGCTGCCCATTTACCAAATCGTTTTTGTCTTCACAGCCTTGCTGCCGCAGTGATTGCGGGTCTGCTAAGTGGACAGGACACACACACCTGCCTCAGGATGGGGCTGCTGGCTGCTAACTACTCCCTCAAGTCACGGGATCCCATCTCCAGGTCCATCACTATGGATAGTGTAAACCCACAGCGGGTCAATGAGAGAGCCTGGCTTGCACCAACCTACCACTGGGTGGACGAGACCTTCATTAAATAGAAACTGTAATATCTCTGCACAATTTGAAGGATTCTTGTTAATCTGGAGTAATTTCAACTTTGTTTTCTCTGACTTTGATTCAAAGTCAAATAATATTGTCTCCTCTGTTTGGAGCAGTGATACCCTGAGTTCGGTAAACACATGATTTCCATGAAATTCAGAACCTCACTCAAAGAGTCTGTAAAGATTTACATTGGAGCAGTTAGGGTGATTTTGTGAAAACCACACTGGCACTGTTACACTGACCTGGGTGTGTCTGACAAGGCAGTATAGAAGGGAGGGGGATATATTGTAGTTGAGGCACGGTTAGGTAGAAAAGCAGAGACTCCATATGTACTCTGTGTGCACCTAGATAACTTAGGAAGAACAAGGTAATTCAGTCAATTTCTGCTCCTTCCACCGGACACTCCCTATACAATACAGAACAAAGTGAACTATTGCTACCAGGGTCTTCATACAAGAAGCTGAAAACGAATTCTATATCAAAGTTTTCTTTATATTTTATTCATGTATTGAAGCATTATAAGCAAATCAGCCTCTCCATATAAGAATAATGAATATATACTATTGCTAAGTGTTGCCAGCAATAAAACATATACTTACATATCAATTACTTTGATGCTGTAGATTGGCAAAACCTTGTTAAGTGACTGTTATGCTGTTTACTGATATATGGTTTGTTTGGGGATAGAAAGTTACATTTGTATTACAATCCTTTGATTTAATACCTTTATCTATTCCATTTAATTGTTAAGTGAGTTTTTGCTGATGATTGTACTTTGTAGCAGTTATAACCTTGCTAGGAATGAACAGTATCTGTATTTTTTTTGTCTTTTATCCTTGCTCTGCCTGGTACTGCTACACTTTCAAGGGGGGTTGTATTATTAATTTTATGACATTTCTTGGTTTGAACCTGATGGATGTTCGTTTTCCTTGCCTTGTTTGGTTGGATATGGTAATGAGGAGTAGGGGTGAACCACCAGATGGGTGCAGATGGGTGAGAAATGGAACAAAGGAACGGTGTTGATGTATGATAAGAGGATGGCCTTGACTATCACAATTGGAGATAGTCATGCCTCCTTATCTCAGGTCACTATTTTTACTAGTGCAAAGCTGTGCTACCTTATGTAAGTTCATATTTTTATCAATGTTATCAAGATGCAACCAGAGGTAGATCCCACCTACACATGGAAATAATGGAATTCTCAGTTTGGATTGAATATTCTTAAACATGGCGATGGGCTTCCGTGTGTGTCAGACACCCGGCCAACCCCAAAAAAGAACGCTTCAATGATATAGTTTTTGAAAGATAAAAAGCAAGAAAATGATATCTGTGAGATTAACTAGCCAATGTTGCAGCTAGGAGTTGAAGGAATGGTTAAGCAAACGAATGGGTATAAACAAAGCTGTTGTAGCTGCTGCTCTTCAGAACAGACCCGAGAAGAAAGACGATACCATTTAAAAAAGAAGACTCCTGCAACTGTGTATTCTGTTCTACAGCTTGTTAATTCTATCATATTCACTTCTATATAGAAGTTGTAACCGTTAATTTTTACCTATCTTGTGTGAGCTTGATTTTCTCGGGGTCCCGAATCAAACCAAGACTCACAATTTTCCCAGTTAATAATTTGACTTAACTTAAATACACAAGTGGCCCATTGCAGTCAACAGTATCTAGTCTTAATATTGTAATAATAATAATCCTTGCATTTGATATAGCATCTTATCACGTTGTTGAGACGTCTCAAAGCGCTTCATAGAACTTATGGTAAAGTGAATTGATTGTACCTTTTGTGAGCAAAACTCGACAGCATTCTTTTTGTATCATGGTCACCACTGTACGTGAACAGACCAGCATGAAACTTATTGCAACCTCAATTGTGCAATTGCTTTGCAAAACTAATTTGCATGTCATGACTCTGGTTTAAACTTCATAACAGATATATTAAAATTGTTTCTATACAAGGGACACACTGGCTATGCATGATGTGCAGGGTTGGAGAGAGGTTTCCTATGAAACAACCAATGATTACTGCCATCATATTTCCTTTCAAGAATGACTAGAGCCTTAGTTTTGCAATGTTACAGCTAGAAGATTAAATGGCAGGAATCAACCCCTGTTGACCTTTCTATTGTCTCTTAATATTGTTTTCTTCTGATTTTTTTAACTTTAAATACTGTACTACACTTTGTTGATAATATCCATTCCCCTCCACTGCTTGTCTGATTTGTCACATGACATGAAATTTACAATTTGCAGAATTAACCAATACCCTACAGGACTTCACTATTCCTAGTGACTGAGTGTTAGACATGTGCAGGGTACACAGGCGTTGTGCTTGAAGGGCAGTTTGACTTCAGGTATAGAATGGCTGTGGAAGTAGCACAGTATTCAGGTAGGACTGTTACAGAATGACTGGCATGGGGAGGAGCAGCAATCAAGTAGGACACCACCCAGAAGTGCACAAAACTGCTTGCAAAAAAAAATAAGAAATGCTGCAGTTTGTACTTTGAGGGATTTCTTCCCCTCCTCTCCCTCCCTCAAAGTTGTCCAGAATTTTTCCAGCAGTGAATCGTACATAATCACAAGTCATGCTGAGCACCATCAGGCTGTGTCTCTCCATCCTAGCGCTTGTTTCAATCCAGCTTCTGGCTGCCTGGTTGAGCGGAGTGGCAGGTGATGGCACCTCGCTGGTCCTTCCCGAGGCGGCGACACTTGACTTCGATCCAGACACGAAGAGCCCGCCTGAGAGTCAGGGCATGGAGCAGGAGCGAGGCCAGATGAGAAGGCATCTGTTGAGAAGCATCCGGAGCTCGGCTAGGCGAGGCAAGGCTGGCAGGAACCCCAAACAGCCGTCAAAACACCAACAGAAGCTCCTCGCTTATCTGAACGATCACGGCATGTTCAACTCAGACACGGTAACCTCACACCTGCTCTGTTCCACATTGTTCTTAAACTACATGTCAAATCAGTTTGATCTCCAATACAACAATTACTGAGTGCATCTCCCTGTGTCTGTCCTCCACCTCCTCACTCACTGGATGTTATCTTCAGATCTCGTTGTCACTTCTTTCTTTTTTTAGAATTATGCTTCTTGAATTTGTCAGTGTCTAATTAATATTATTTTCCAGAGATTTTCCATCTCTTATTTTCCATCTACTTGCATCGATGGCATTGCTTTCGTCTTCCTAGTATCTGATACTGTCTCTTTCTTCCCCCCTCACCACCCCACACTCCTCTCCTGTGCCTGATCCTGGCTTTTTCTCCCTCTTTACAATGTATGATCCCAGCTTGGATAATGTGATCTGAATTAAATTTGTTAGGCTTGTAAACGTATTAGATTTGCAGCTGGGTGTTGGGTATCACCTTGTTCCCATTCAGTACTTGCTCGTCTATCATAACTATGCAAAAAAATACAATCCTATCAGATATGAGAGACAGAGATGTAGATGTCTGAATATTGGAACTATTAATACCTTAAATTTGTCTGCAATGGTATTTGTGCAAGGGCTTCGAGGACTGAATTGATGATGGATTGGAGTCTGCTCCTTGAAGACATGCAGTAAAACTTGCATAAATCTGATTTGTATAAATCGTGTCATCGCCTAAGTCGTACATCTGCCCAAGTTCCGTTCAAGAGTTTATATTCTATACAAGTTTGACATAACTTATACTTTGCATAAGTCATATTAAATGTATGATCCCAACTTATACGACTTATGTAAGATTTACCGTTTTCATTTTTATTATTCTCTCTCTTGCTTCTCTCTCTCTTGCCTTCTCCATATTGTTTGTAAAGATAAGATTTCCGCTGAGGGATATCAGTGCTGGGGAATGGTTTGTCTTTCATACTGCGGGACCCAGTGGCAGCGTTAGGCAAGCGCAGGCACAGTGCAGAAGCAGAGGATCGTTGATCAATTCTCTGCCCCCTCTTCTCCTGAAGGGTGGGGCTCATTTCGATCCACAGGTACTAACAGCTTTCCATTATGCAAAAAGTCAGAGGAAAAGATTAAGCAGCTGGAGGAGAGATTACTGCTAAACCACCCCCTCCCTATTTCAGTGAGTGAGTGGAAAAATCTATGGAATAGGTTCCCTAGGGAGACGGCAGAAGCAGAAAGTGTTGATTCTTTCAAATGCAAATTAGATGGATTTCTTTTAGGAAATAATGTTTTGGGATACAGTATATGAATAGTTCAACAACAACAGCTTGCATTTATATAGCGCCCCTCAAATAGCGTAGCATACCAGAGTAGCTTAGCTCAGGTCATGACATGGGCATGAGACTGCCAGGATGGTGCAAGGCAAACTGAATGGATCTTGGTCTTTTTTTGTCTAGCATTTCCTATGTTCCCCACTAGCCAATGATGAATAGATGAAATACAACATCAGCCTAGAGCTGAACAGCCTGCTGACTAAGATCACATATGAAGAACAGTCGCATTGGTGAGTTCCAGAGGTTGTCCATCCCGTGGAACTGGAACTTCTATCAGCAGTCACCGTGTTCAGGCACAAAAATGGAGACAATCAGTGGGAAATGAGAGGAAAGGCATGGTTTCTGAGAGATGGTCTACATTGGGCACAGGGACCCTATCTTGCAGAAAAAGACCTTTCTATCCACTTATTAATCATCACGTCATTATATTGTCTGTGGTTTGATCTTTTTCTGACAGTCCAGCTGTGCGAAAATTCATTCCAAATCCTGTAGCAAGAACTCAGACTGTCGAGGTTGTCTTGGGCTCTACACCTGCAGGATCCGATTGGCCAAGTGTGAACTCAAAGGAGTTACGAGGAAGGCAGGTACAGTATGTTCCCAGGAACTATATCACCTGCTTCCTCACAAAGATACTGTCATACAAAGAGGGTTCCCTGAACAGCTCACTGCCCACGATGTCAAAGCCTTGGTGAGCGTCCCTGCTTTTGCAGGGCATCCTGTGGTTTGCTGGACAATCAGTACTTGGCATTGAGCATTGGGAGAGGTTCTGAGTGAGGCCCGATGCTTCACCACATGTTGGGGATGGCCGGGGTGTGGGGTGGGGGGGCGCGGAGAGGAAGTAAATGTTTGCTCGAGTCCAACAGTAAGAGGGAGTTGACGTAACATGAATAAAGATGAAGTCAGAAACAAGGACACTCAGAAGAGTCACTGAGTCTGACAGTGCAAAGAAGTTAGGAGGAGGGACAAAAACATACCCTATATAGTAATACTGTATATTTCATGGATTGGAAGAACTGAGATATCTAGGAGTATGGCTATTTAAAGGTGGGAGGACAAGGAACAAGAACAAAGGGTTGATGCTTATAAAACTGGAATTGAGTTTTATATGGAGGAGTTTTGTCCACAACAAGCCAAAGATAATGATAACATTTTGCACAGTCAGAGTATTGCGTTCACTTTTGCACATCCCATTAGAGAAAGAACATCACAGTCACAAACAAGGTAAGGTAGAGATTCAGGAGTTTAATACTAGGATTGAGATGTTACAGTTATGTAGAGAGACTTGGACTTCAAAAGTTGAATATTTCATTAGAGCGTGAAGGGAACATCTAATTGAAGTTCTCCAAATGGAAGTATTTCCACTGACCAGCAAGTCAGCAACAAGATAAATTCAGGATTATTACCAGAAAAAATGTTAGATTTTTTTGTTTACATGGATGATCATTGCCATCTGGGATGCTTTACCACAAATGGCTGTTGAAGGTGAATCCATAACATCTAAAGGATCACTTTGTACAACAGTCCTCATATAACAGCAATGCCTTATCCAGTGCAACATTCTTTACATAATGCAAGGAATATTCTTTTCATAATAGTATCTTGTATAACTGGGCTTATCACTCCTTATATTATGCTGCCCCCACTGTACATTACTAGATAAAACACAGTTTACCAATGAGGGCAGCACACTGCATGTTACTCAGGTGTACTCTCTGTGTATTGTATAACACTGTGGGAGTACAAGGAGACCCCACAGGGGGTATAAAGCTTGCCGAATGTTAGCAGAACTTGGAGACTTGAACACACTCAGGAATTAGTTATTCTGTGCAAAACATCTAAAATTTAAAATCTATTGTGTACAATACACCTAAAATCTAAACACATCCCGCATATAGGCTGATCACAGCTTCTGTTCTGTCTCTTGCAGGAGAATTTAATCGGAATATCATAAACACTTGAAGCCCCATCTGACCCCGACAACTTGAATACTTCTTGCGAGAGAGGAAGCAATTGTAAGAAATTTCTAGAACATTTTCATGACTATGCCTAGTATGTGTTTGCAAATGTTAATAATGCAGCGGCCTATTATTGGAAAGAAGCGCCAAACAAAGTCTATGTTGCCAACTAATTCCACCTGGGTAAAGATTTACTCTTAATAATGCTTCTTGGAGCGCCCAGCGTTATACTGCTCCGAAACACCATTTTACATGAAGGGTGTGATATAAATGCAAGCTTGTGTTGTCCAGAGTTTGTCAGATCTTGACAAATTTAAATTTTAAGATGTTTTTCTGTAAATTTCTTTTTAAGAACTACAGAAAATAACCTGCACAGCTCAAACTGAAATGCGAAATTCTGGACGCTCTGAAATGCTACTTTAATAGAGTAAATTTAGATCAGGTGGAAGTTTGACCCATAGGCTCGTTGGAAACTTTATAGAATCTTGGATTGAGTAAGAATACTTCATAAGTACAATTTTTGTTAACTGCCGGGAACTGTAAATTGCATTTTTTGGGTTTACTTAAAAGGTTGAGGGTTTAAAGTTTAGTATTAAACATTTGGTTGTGTGAAAAATGTGGTCCGTATATGAAATAAAAATTATTTTTGTGGTTACTTGCAAACAATGAATTCATTATATTCAGTCTAATGGAGAACTTGTCTTATAGTTTGGGGTTCACTTACACTGATTTCTGTCTGAACAGCATCTAAACCACACATCATAATCTACACAAGTGTTTCTAAACCTTCTTGATGCCAGGGACTGGTTTCTTCTTAACACTTGGCGGGTCATGACTCATGAGTTAGTGAGCCTGTCAGGTCATTCAGTCAAGGTGTCTTTTTTTGGTATGGACTGGACATAAAGTTATCAGAGATCAAAGTTATTGAGAAACACTGACCTATACAGAGAACTTGTCTTTT